AAATATGGACATTTTGGGTCTCATACCACATCTCGAGTCTCAAGCCCATCTGCCATTGTATTTGACCAGAATTACAGCTGACTCATCACATCAATTGCAATGAATATTTTAACATGACACATACAAGTGCTTAACAGGCATGTGATATTTAATGCAGCCTGTTCCACAGCAATCAGCTCAACAAGAACTGCATCTATTTTCAACTTTACAGCTGTTTTTAGCATTACAAATGTGTCAAAGAAATCAACCTTATCACCAATCAACATCTACTCTTTTTCACCACATCCAACTATCTAATTTAGGTGATTTGAGTTAGTAAAACAAAATTTTAAATGTAAAGCATAAGTCTTCCTTTCTCATTTTGACTAAATATACTTCCTGACGATACAAACATTTAAGCTCCACTTCAGGTTTTAGAAATGTCAACCCTCTGCTGTGCACTGTTACGCTGCAGCACCAGACATTTTGACTTGTCAACACGGAAAAGTACAGCTACAGCAAATTTTGTTCATTTTGGCTCATCAGTTGATTGTCCCTGTGAGGTATGACGGTATGGAAAGATAGCACACTGTCAGCCAGTTTACCGAAATGGAAGGCAGTCGTTTTGTTAGGTTATTAATTGCACAAACTTTGATAAACTGAGAGAATGTCAGCATTAAAAAACGTTTGTTTTGATCCCCGGAAAAGGGACACCATTAATTCATAACAATAGTTTTACCTACTCTTTGTACAATATCACATGTGAAATGGTAATAAAAGATGTACTTATGTAGACTTTAATGTACTCAGGCACTTGGGGGAAATAACAGCTCAAAATAAGCAGAGGGAGAGCTATTCATCTATGAGCAGGGGAGGGACCTAATCACTTAGATTAATGTCGTTATCAGTTTAAGTGATAAGTTGTTGTTTTTTCAAAGAAGTCTAAATAGAGTGTTTATTCTTAAGGTGTTTAATCACCTCCAAATCTACACTTTGCTGACCATAGCTTGGTACGTAACAAACATCTTGTTTTATTTTGTAGAGGTCTGCCTGACGGTTTGTACACCTCTTTCATTTTTAAAAATCTTTACTGTTATTATTTTTTATTGACCCCTGTACTCAATTTCAAGAGCAGCAACTGATTTTTTTTCTGTGTAAGCGAGACAAAAATGTACCAAGAAAGCCTTGTGGCACCATCTACTGGCTCAGAAATGTACAAATTTGAAGCGGAAGATGGGTTTAATTCATGCAGCTAATGATTAATTCATAAATTGTATTTCATTTGTAGAGCATAAGCTTGAATATGAAAATAAAACTTGAAGTAATTGCTACTTAAGTCACTTTAGCAACTAAATCTTAGTGAATCACAGTCCTTTCATTTTTCACAGAATGCAACATGCACAGCTAAAGTATGACTTCAGATGAATACATTTTATCAGTGCAGACTGACACCTAATGTTTTACAACCCTGTTTCGTCAGAATTTCGTGCTTTAAACCACTGCTCTACTTAAGAATTTAGTCTACATTTAATGCCCTCATCCCACAGTCAAAAGAAAAAAAATCACAGACCTGTGTCTCCAGGCTTTAAGCTAAACCTGGTGAAAGACTGATGCTGTGACTTGCTCCCACTCAGCAGGGCACTTTGTCTTCTACAGGAGTTATTTTCATCTTCATTTCATAAAAGGTTATTGGCCCGTTCGGGAGCAACACATATATTCTCTTGCCTTTATGCCCCTCAGGTCAAATTACAAATACACTTTATAGCTTTTTTAACCTATTGCTTTGCTTCTGGCGGGAGCAGTAGTAATTTTTTAGTTTCAGTTGCAGTCCATCTGTTTTGGCCTGCCTCTTCATCTACATGCTTTCTGAGTCTAGTCCAGTTTTGGGTTGTTCCACAATTTCTAATTTCCTAGTGTAGCAGCCTGCAGGTCTTTTTATATTACACTCTAATTACATGGATTAATCACTGGTCTACAATCTGCTTGGTAATTTCTATTTTTGTTTGAGGTTGTAATAACACGTGGCAGACATTTTTTTTCAACAAATAAAGTTTAAATGATAAAAAGCGTATTATTGTCTTTAATTTGTAAAGAACAAACAAAAAACATGTTTTCATATATACCAAAGTCTAAAACTGCCATTTTGGACTGAAAAAAATGTCATGTAGTTGTCTATTTGGAAATAAAAGCAACTGTACTGCAATTAAGTAAAGGACTCCAGGAAATAACACAGCAAATTGCTTTGTCAAACTGGGTTTTAAGTCTGTGGAGCTTCTTAATGTCCAAAACGATTTCAAACAGCATCAGTACATCAACCTGGTCCACATCAGAGAGAATCAAATCAGACCAGTGCAAACTTCATGCCAGCCATGCTTGAAGCAGGACTGTTCTGTTGTTTTTGCTGACTTTATTGGCACGCTGGGCTTAATTAATGTTAAGTGTTTACTGTGAGACAACTGGCTTCATGCTGCTTTTGATGAATGATTGATGTCCCACAGCAGTACAGAAGAAAACAGAGCAGGCTCAGATTGAGTTTCAACCCATTTTGAGTGATAGAGAAAATAATCAATTGTCTATTTTCAAACAAGCACATATCATCCAACTGAATGATGTGATCTGCTGTAATCAGTGCTAGCCAATTGGTGGGATACATCTGAGTGAATAAATAGGTCGTTAATGTCACTATCTAACTAGATCAAGATATGTAAGTTCATTACTAATCAGCATGCCTATACTTGTGTTTTCTCACTGAATTAGCTCGTTTCAAATACAGGGTTTTGAAATGTCACCCCTCAAAGGCAAAAATGTTCAATATTAGACTTGTCACAGGGTAAAAAGACATCTGTTGTTTTACTTTAAAAGAGATCAAGCCAAACAGGTTGGAATCATGGATGTACTGTATTAATAAGGAATGCAAACATTTCTATAGTCAGAGTTTAGTTTGTACCAGACACATGTGGGTATTGTACAACAAAACATGCCGTCAATACAAAAAGGCCAGACAATCCGGATATGCCAGTCCGACTTCGTCATAAGTCAGTGGAAAGGCACTGGCTCTCACTTTCAGCTGGTTAACTCCAGATATCCCCAACAATAATCCAAATGCTTAAAAAACAGGTCATACCACCCTTTATAAAAAATACTTTTAAATGTATTTGGTGTCTTTTCCAGATTGCTTTCATCATTGTGCCAGCAAAGGTTATACCTGCCCTATTTTTTTATTATGTGCCGCTCAGAGTGAGTTAAAAGGAACCATAAAGAGGCGTTACCTGTCTAATCTTGCTCTGCTTTAATCTACTGGCAGAAGGTGAGTCATCCTGCACATGTCTGTGTGTCAAGAAAGATGCAATATTCCACAGTAGTTCTTATGAAATCATGATAGCCCATTCACTTACTCCGCTGGAAAATAAAATAAGGTCATGAAGTACAACCCTGGGATTAAAATCTCTTAGTTCATTCTGAACTTTGATCTGAAAAAGATAATAAAAAATTGCAATGAGAGATGGAAATTTGACTTTTTCTCCATACTGTGGTGCAACAGAAAAGGTTGAAGGTTCCAAGTCTTCCTCTGGGACACACAAATATTCACTGGAAGTTTTTGGAAATGTTTCATTAGTTTTTAGAAAAGGTCAGAGAACCCATCAGGACTCCTCCGGCAGCAATTCATATCTCTATATTATTCTTTGTAACCCCCCTCTAGAGGACTTTAGGAGGAGGAAGTGTGCAGGTTGGTAAACATTAGTACTTTAATCACTCATGTGTCTGTCACAGCAGCTTTAAACTTCTACACTTAGCTGGCTCATAGGGCATTTGGCAAATAGAGGAACGGCGTGTATGTTTGAGTCATTTCCCAACTAATGAGGGAAATTAAAAAAGTAAAAACATTTTGCAAACATTGGCTGACTGACATTTAACTAAGCATTTCTTACTTCACTTATTTTTAATCTTAAGAAAGTAAATATAAATATAAAACAAACTGAACAGCACTGTATTGCAAGATGTAATCTGGTAGAAAGTCCAACATTTAAGACACGAGATGTAAAATAAAGAAAATAAGACACACTCAGTCAAACATTAAGCGAAAAAGCAAAAAATTAAATGAAATGAAAATAGTGACAGTACCTGTAAAGTTTCCTTTTTATTCAACCAATGCCAGATAAACAGGTTTTGATGGGTTCCTGCAATGTCTGTATTTGACAAAACAGACAGGAACCTAATCCTCTCTGCGCAAAAGAACAAATGCATTGCGTTAAAGTTGTCTTCCTTTTAGGTGCAATGACGTTAGAAAGGGTTAGGGTTGGCATTAAATGAAAACACTCACTTCCTCTCCTTTAACCTTAAAGAAAAATGTCCTCCCTTCCTGTACTATCAACTCACTCCAAGAAGCCAAAAATTTGTCAGAGCTTGAAAAGATGAAGATACTGCAGACCAACAGCAGAGTGTGCGGACTGGCAGAGAATCAGAGATGTTTGTGAGGAGAGAGGCTGTGCAGAGGCAGCCTCAACAGCCTGCAGCCATCTGCTATGCAGTATCTGCTGGTATACAGTTCCATCAAACACCTGAGCAGTTTCTAGCCTCAGGCATGAAGAGATACCAAATTCAAACTTTACAAACACTTTAATAAGATGTTCATTTTTAACTTTTGTACTTTCTACAAATAAACAGCCATATACAGATCAGTGTGATGTATGTACATTTTTCCATAAAGCTAAAATGTGTACTTATTTAGATCAATTTCAAATAAAGTGTATTAATTAAATTCTAGTCACATACCATCAAAACACAGTTGTCATCTGTAGACATTCCAAAAATACAGTCCAATGGGGATCAAATTAATAGTATACAAGTTTTTTTAAAACATATATTCAATACTTAAGTAATATTCTAGGCTTACTCTAAACTGAACTCCCAGTTCTTGTCATTTCTTCGGTAAAAGCTGATTTGTCCCCACTCATTTCCGAACAGCGTGTAAAAGGCTGAGCCGTGCCTGTTTGGGCAGGGTTGTTGACACGGTTGAGTTGCGAAATGTTCCGACTTTGCAGTACGTGACGGCGCCTGCGTACATGACGTTCGTGACGGCCCACCCATACAAATACCGGCGTCCGCATGACGTAGGGGATCAGTCAGCAGTCTTTTTTTGTGGAGGCCACATCAGAGCCGTGGTGTTTCAGATCATCTAACAATATCCCGAAATCGAGTGGTGTCATCGCATTTTTTGTTTAGTTAATTTACTTCCAATCTGTCTTTATTTCATATCCTTTGGTTGCCAGGCCAACAATAACACTGACGTTCCTTTTGTAAAGGTAAGATATGTCGGTGTTTTTTCCCCTTGTCTAGCTAACGTTAGCTAACCCACTGGTCTAGTAGGAAGTTGGCCGTGTTTTTTTTTTTTTTTTTTGGGGAGGTAACGAAGTGTGGAAAAATACCAATCTGGATTTCCTTGTTTTCGTTGTTAATGGTTCGCTTTACCCGTTTAACTAATTGTCGTGCTGGTTTACTGTCATGTAAAGGTCGATGCGGGTTTCAGGAGATGGGTTTCAGTTTTTTTAGCTGTTAGCTTACCGGCGGCCTCTAGCTCAACCGCCCTCCCCCCCTTCCCCAAGATGTCGGGATGTGGACATCCGGTGTGTGAACAAAGACCTCATAAACCCAGCTGATGGGATTCTCCGTTTTCACTTGATTTTCCACATCTTAAATATCTATGTCTTCGTTGATATAGCTAATCGATCGACGAAGTACACTAACATTAAACGCGTTTTGACATTTCATCATTTTTGTGTCAAGTAATTATAAATTGGGTATAATAATCGGATACTTGTGCTTGTATATACATAAAAATAATTTTATACAAAGTCATTTTATGATTCCCTGGGATATATTGCCTTTAATTGAACCAGTGTTAGGTTTTATGTAATTCTTTTATTTAGTCGGTTCTTTCGCGACTTTTATTGGACCGTATTTCCTGTTGATCTGCCATCCGCGGTTGGTGTAAGGTTTAACTGGGTCACGGGTAGTGCGTGATTCCCAGCGAAGGTAAAGAAATATGTAGACACTCGGGAAATGTACATGGAGGTTAAAAAGTATCGGTACAGTAACTAGAAAGCAGGCGTTGACACGTAATCGTCGTGTTCTATTGTTTTTTTTCTCTCCCCCATCTTAAATTTTGCTAACTCCATGCTAAGCTATTATGCTAGCGCTGTGTCACACGGGCACGTGTCGGCGTTCGTGCGCTCTACTGTCGCTTATAAAACTAATCATGTCGGTTGATTGCATGCTACTGTAAGTACTAATAACTTTGTTCTGTGTACCCCACAGGTCGCTCTTTCCCGCCCCACTCCTAGAACTCGATTCTTTTAATATTTACTTTGTCAAGCCGCCAAAGTGGAGAGTGTCGTCGCACAAGGGGGGCCTTCTCGTTTCAGGTATTCAGCAACCGATACGCATTCAGCCTTTTTCTCACTCAAACCTTTCTTTTAAAAGCTCAACCGAAATTCAAATACTCAAATGTGTCGATTATGTCTATGTTCCACAGTGTGGGGGGAGGAGGTGGGGGTGCACCCCAACACTATCCCAAGACTGTCTGCAACGGGTAATTATTGTTATATGCTATCCATTTACTCTGCTTCCACCAAATTTTATGGTGAATTATGTGCACATTTTCAGCCTAAGAAAGTAAAAGTGGTTTATAATGGCTCAGTTTTCTCCATTAATGTGGAGGCGGCATTTCATCACTCGCCACACTGAGCTGTTAAGATAGATTCAGCATGTCATGTAATGAGTAAATGTGCTTCTTGATAATTCTTAGGAACTCGCACCATTTAAAAAAGTGTTTGGAGGTGTTGTTGGATTTGTTTAGTGACTGTTGTGTCCATAACAGCGAGCTCCTGGGGAAGACCCCAGGTCCCATCGTTCAGAAATGGGAACCTTCTCGACGCACTAGACGGGATGCCAACTCCTCTGAGAAACGGCAAAATGATGCAATCTTCCGGAAAGTGAGAGGGTGAGTTTCCAATTTGACCTAACTTTTATCCTATTTCTGCAGTAATTTATTAAGTTTCATTTTATGGTTTTACAGAACGAGTTTGTATCCAAATAACCGTGTTTTTCTGTTTTTATCATCAGCATACTGAACAAGCTGACTCCTGAAAAGTTTGACAAACTATGCCTGGAGCTCCTCAATTCGGGTGTCGATTCAAAATTTGTCTTAAAAGGAATCATCCTGTTGGTGCGTGTTTTTTTTCATTTGTTCAAACTTTCTTAATGTTAATGTATTAGGACAGCCATTTTTAATTTTCTGCGGTTCCGCTCCTCCTTTCGCAGATTGTTGACAAAGCCCTTGAAGAGCCCAAGTACAGCCAGCTATATGCACAGCTATGTCTTCGCTTGGCAGAGGATGCACCAAACTTTGAGGGCCCATCAGCAGAAAATCCAGCAACACAAAAGCAAACAAGTGTGAGTTTATTTTTCGATTAAACCAACAGCTTTTGCTTCTGTGATGTACTGTGATTTAAATTTGTTCTTTTTTCTTTTTTTTTGTCAGACCTTCAGAAGGCTTCTGATATCCAAGCTCCAAGATGAATTTGAGAACCGTGCCAGGAATGTCGACAGTGAGTGCCCTGCTTCTAAGGCCTCTAGTACAGTTAAAGAAGTTGCATTGTATTATTTGTCACTCAAACTTTTCCTCCCATTTGTCCAGTCTTTGACAAAGATGATGGCCCGCTCACCTCTGAGGAGGAGGAGCAGCGTGCCATTGCAAAAATCAAGATGCTGGGCAACATCAAGTTCATTGGTGAACTGGGCAAACTCAATCTTATCCACGAATCCATCCTTCATAAGTGCATCAAGACAGTAGGTTCTTTTAGCCAACTTCATGTATACTGTGCTTCCAATACTGGGGAATAGGACTGTGTTCAAAGTGTTTTGTTTTTGTTTTCAGCTTCTGGAAAAGAAGAAGAGAGTCCAACTCAAGGATATGGGGGAAGATTTGGAATGCCTCTGTCAGATAATGAAAACGGTGGGACCTAAAATTGATCATGACAAGGCCAAGGTCAGTATTCAGTATCAATCAGGATAACAACCCGGTGGTGTACATTTCATCTTGTGCTTTAAAATGTAAAATTCCTATTCCTTACAGTCTTTGATAGATCAGTACTTTTGCCGCATGCGATCCCTGGCGGGCAACAAGGAACTGCCAGCAAGGATCCGCTTCCTTCTGCAGAACACAGTGGAGCTGCGAGACAACAACTGGGTTCCTCGCAAAGCCTATATTGACAACGGGCCAAAGACCATCAGCCAAGTTCGTCAGGAGGCAGTGAAAGTGAGTATACCTGTTCCGTTCACCAGGGACCTGTAAGAACTGAAGCTCTTATTTGTGTACAAGTCTGTCGGTGGCTGGTCTAAGTGTCCTGTGTGACGTGGCTTTGCAGGATTTGGGTGTTTTTATTCCACATTCATCTGATGCGATGAGGAATAACTTCTTCATGGACAACACCTCCTTCCTGCCAGGGAAGATGAAGTTTGACCGGGAGCCTCTTGGTGGGCTTGCTGACATGTTTGGGCAAATGCCAGGTGTGTTGATGCGATATTCCCTGATGGAAGGAGTTCTGGAATTTCCTAAATGAATTTCCTAACTGTCTCCTGTAACTAGGGATTGGCATTGGGACTGGTCCGGGAGTAATTCAGGACCACTACTCCCCGTCCATGGGCCGTCACCGCGCCGCCCCGCTCTTCAATGGCCACATTGGAAACGGCAATGGCTCCCATCAGCCTCAGTTTGAAGCAGGAGGCAAGCAGTTCACAAAGCCAAACCAGGTAAATGAGACTTGGCGTTTGATCCTCCATGTCTTGTTGAAATACAGACCCTATATCATCACTGACTCTTATGCATTCCTTTTTAAAGGGGCAGAATTCACCAGTTTTCAGCCACAAGCAAAATCACTCGGGCCAGATCCAGTCAAAGGACATGGCTTCCCGGTTCGGCAAGAAAGGGAAAGTGAATGCTGATGAGGTGCGACATCCTCTACTGGCAAATCTCTTTAATGTGGTGTTTTTTGTAGTAGTGGCACTTTGTGACAAAACATGATGTTGTGTATTTAGATCAGTCTGAGACCTGCACAGTCCTTCATCCTAAGCAAGAAACAAGTGCCAAAGCTGCAGCCGCAGATGACTATGGTTCCTCAGAATGGTTCTCCAATAGGACAGGTACCCACCCGCCCCAGACAAGTTTGGAACTGAAAACCTACTGAGCTCCTGTGGTGGTTTCTGTATTCCCATTTTGCTTTATCTGTTCTACAGCTTGGCCTCAAAACCAATCCTCCTCCTATTCAAGAAAAACCTGCAAAATCCACTAAAAAGGCTCCTCCTACAAAGGAGGAGTTGCACAAAATGACTGTAAGTTCCTCTAGCTGGCACTGCTTCCCTTTTTTTTTTTGTTTTGTTTTGTTTTTGTTCCCTTCCCCCTCCTTTAATAATGCTGCATGTCTGGTATCAAATCCTGTTTCAGGAAACACTAGTGGCAGACTACCTGAGCAGCAAAAACCTGGAGGAGGCCGTGAACGAAGTGCGGGAGATGAAACCTCCCAAACACTTTTTGAGCGAAATGCTGAACAAGATCATTGTCTACTCCCTCGATCGCTCGGACGAGGATAAGGAACACGCAAGCAACCTAATGCATGGATTCTGTACCGAGGGAGTAGTCACAGGTGAAAATCTGCTGCAGGTGAGTGACTTAACCACACAGCAAATTGAAATGCAGACCTCAATATGGAGCAGTTCTGATCTTGAGTGCGTTCCTACCTCTCGTAGGCTTTGCTGAGCGTTCTCAACCAGGGCCCCAATATTGAGGAAGAGATCCCTCTGGTCAAGTCCTACCTGGCCCAGTTTGCAGCGCGAGCTATCATAGCCGACCTGGTCAGCATTGGCGATCTGGCCCATCATTTGGAGAACGGCGCACACTTCCCGCTGTTCCTGCTCTGCCTGCAGCAGATGGTCAAGCTGAAGGACCGCGAGTGGCTGGGCGACCTGTTCCAGCAGAGCAAAGTCAACATGCAGAAGATGCTGCCTGGTAGGCCAAGCTCCGTTTCCACCGATGCGCTACACCGTGCTTTTATTCCAAGCTGCGTTTGGTTTTCAGCGCTTTGCAGAAAAGTCTCTGACTGCGTGTCGTTCACAGAGATTGACCAGAACAAGGACAGGATGCTGGAGATCCTGGAGGGCAAAGGCCTCAGCTTCTTGTTCCCTCTGATGAAACTGGAGAAGGAGCTGCTGAAGCAGATCAAAGTGGATCCCTCTCCACAGTCCATCTACAAGTGGATCAAAGACAACATCTCCCCTAAACTCCACACTGACCGAGGCTTCGTCAACATCCTGGTGACCAGGTATGGCAGCGGGCCGTCCACCTGAGCTAACCGACAGGCTGCCGCTGGTGGTTTCACCGTCTTCTCTTCCCTCCCAGCTTCCTGCAGTTCATGGCTTATGAAATCAACCCCGAAGATGACGAGGAGCAGTTTGCTGCTCCCAGCAAGGAGCAGCTGGACGACGAGAAGAAGCTGCTGCTGTCCTTCAAGCCCGTCATGCAGAAGTTCCTCCACGACCACACCGACCTGCAGGTGGGAGCGCTCTACGCTCTGCAGGTGCACTGCAACACCAAGGGCTTCCCCAAAGGTACGCGCCCGCCATGTTTTAGCCGCTGCCCGTCGTCTTGGCAGCGTGGGGTGTTCATGGCCGTTCGTGTGGTTTTCGTAGGCATGTTGCTGCGCTACTTTGTGAACCTTTACGACATGGAGATCATCGAAGAAGAAGCCTTCCTGTCATGGAAAGAAGATGTCACCCAAGAGTATCCGGGGAAGGGCAAAGCATTATTTCAGGTAACTTTACTTGATTCCAGGATTTGGAAGTTTGCTGTAGTAGAATGATCTGAAGTCCATTTGTGTGTTGACTTTTTTTTTGTGTCTGGCTCCAGGTGAACCAGTGGCTGACTTGGTTGGAGACTGCAGAGGAAGAGGAGTCAGAGGATGAAGATTACTAAGAAATGGGCTAAGCCATGTTATCAGGATGCAACGAGTGATTTCTTTTTCTTTTTGAATATCGTGTGCTTTGTCTTTTTACCTCTCATGTTAACGTAACACCTGTTACAGTTCATTCCACCTTTAAATTTTTTGCCAAATCAAGCCAGCATCAACATCTTACTGTATTGGAGTTTTTCTTTCTTCCCCAATCCTATTTGATGTCTAGCCACAGATGGTTTTTATACATTTCAGTCATCTTTGGTTATGTTTTTAACAGTGGGCAGTATTTTTGCAGGGAAATTCATTCAGAGGCCAATCCAGTTTAATCACCTTTAACTTCTGGTATAAGTCACCAAGTGCTGCCATGATTTCCTTCAGCTGTTTACAAGAGAAAGGAACAAATGAAAAACTTCTCCTTTTTATCTGCATTTGTAAATCAGTTTTTGGATGCACTTTGCTCAACATCATGAGTCGTTGCAATAGTAAAAGGAAGTTCCTTGCTTTGTTTTAACTGTTGCAGTTGGATGCTGATGGGGATTTGATTGCCTGCAAATTGATTTTTTTTTTTTCTCATCAAATTATTAAAGTCCCCCTTTTCTTCAAACAGTTAGACATTTTTGTGCACATTGATTCAGTTACCCATTTAGTTGAATCACATTTTTCTTTTTAAACGTAATGTTTTGTGCTAGTAGGAATGAATCTGTGGCCTTTTTAATTTATCAATTCATGGATATACCTCCTATGTATCTCTGACTATACTTGAATGTCTTGGTTTATGACATTGGGACGGCCAAAGCTCAGTTTGCTACGGTTGTCCACCACTTGTGGAAATTTTACATCTGTTTGCAATATTTGTCAGTCTTAAATGGTTTTTATCTTAAAAATGCAGAGAATGTACTGTATGTGTACACACCGTTCTTTGGAGATGTCACTGAAATGTTAAGTACAAGATGAGTGTACAACTACAGATCAATCTTTAATAAAGTTTAACACCTAATTCATTTGCTGGGTAATCTTTTCTGTCAGATGTCTAAAGGATTCTCTTTGAAACAGCTGTTTGAGGGGGAAAAAAGCTCACATTGAATTTTCACTTCATTTTCTAAACCCACTCTACTTAAATTACCTTTGAAAGCTGGGTTTTTATTTTTAGTTACCAGTTTAAGTAAAGCCTCACACAGAGATTCAAACATGGCGTATCAAAGCAACAGTGAGAGATCAGAGATGAGCAGAATGCCAGACTCGGACAGCACTTTAATTTCATTGAAGCTTTTTCCTGTTTTTGTCTTATTTGTCCATCTGAGATAGAAAACAGTTTTTACAGCTTTTAGTGCTCTTATCAATTTAATAAATTCTCAAAAAAAAAGAGCCCTAAAACATGAATAATCCCATAAAGAAAAACACTTATCTAAACTAGCTTAAACTTTGTACAGACTGAAATCTGTCTCTGGTATATTTAAAAAAAAAAAAAAAAAAGAAAAAAAAACAAATTGATTTAATCACTGTCATCCTCCTCGTTGTTGTTTGACCCTTCCTGGTCGGAGGCGTTTTCTGAGCGTGGAGGAGAGCGCTCGTTTTCCGATTCGGCTTCGGATCCTCGCTCGGACACGGCGGCGGGCGAGCCGGCCCTCGACTCCTCGTCTGACGCTGACCGGCTCCTCTTGCTCTCATTGTCTGACTGTTCGGAGTCGGACTGCTGTTGCGGCCTCCTCTTTTTTACGGGGCGATCGCTTCCCGACTCGTCGTCGTTGTCTGAGGCGGCAGAGCGGCGGGGCGAGGCCGCCTCGCTGCCCGAGCGGTTCCTCCCGCCGTCCGACTCGCTGTCGGACGCGATGCGCCTCCTGTGGCCGCCCTCGTCCTCAGACCCTGAGTCGCTGTCTCTCTGGTGTCTGAAAGAAGAAGGTGCATGCATGAACATTTGGTGGTGTGTGTGGGTGTGTCTGCAGTTCTCAGATTAAAGCTCCCTTTTACTTCTCACCTGTCCTCTGCTATTTTCAGTCCATCCTCATCTGAAGAAGACTCGGAGGAAGAGATGATAGCCTTGGATTTAATCTTTCCTTTCATGGATGGCGGCAGACGCTCTGGCTGGGGCTGAAATGAACAAAAGATGTTAATGTGCCACAGGTGGAGAAATGTAAGGTGGATTTTAAGAGCGGAAAGGAAGATGGGAGAGCTAATTGATTGTTAAATGTCACAGAAGTACCTTCTCAATCCTTTTGCGCCCTTCTTTGGGTTTGCGCTGTTTCTTTTGACGAGGAGCTCCTTCCTCATCATCACTGTCGTCTCCTTTAGTGGGTCTGAAAGAGTTTCATCCAGAAATCCACCATGAGCCCTCTGGCCTGCAGTGGGACTGAACTGTTCATCACTCATGGCAGTCACCCACCTGCGCCTCTTCTTTTTCTTCTTCTCTTCATCGTCACCCTCCTCCTGGTCACTGGCGCTCACGCTGACCTTCCTCTTCTTCTTCTTCTTCAGCGGCAGGTCCTCGTCGGAGTCGTCGTTAACAAAATCCTCCATGTCCCCTCCTTTCTTACGCTTCAAAATTAAACAAAAACAGTGCCGTTGGTATGCTGTGTGTGTGCCTATGACCAGAGGCCGGGCATCCTGCTGACACTCACGCGTCCGCCCCCGCCACCGCCTCCTCCCTTCTTCTTCTCTTTGGCCATTTCTTTCGCTCCTTCTGCGAAGGTGAGCAGGTTCTTGGTTTTCTCCACAAACAGAGCTCTTTGCTCCAGGAGCTTCTTCTGCTCCTCAGCTTCTCTGCTTCGTTTCTCCTCCTAAATGATTATTGTGGAGAACAAGCACATCATTGAGTGTGGAGAGGAGCTGGAGTCAGATCAGATTTAATGCAAACTTCAACATCACGGCGAATCCTGAATCAGGACGGCAGAACCATAGTTACCTGCTCTTTCATCAACTGCTGGCGCAGCTGGTCCCTCTCCTGTTCCTGTTTGGCACGGAGCTCCTTCTCCTCCTCATCCTGCTTTCTGGCCCTGGCTACATGGTACTGAGCCTGACTCAGCAGGTCGGAGCACTGCCTGTATTCCCACATCCACACCCACGCTTAGATTGCAGCACAGAATAATGTGTCTCCATATAATTAATTAAAAGTAAACAAGAATCTAATTGCTAATGGCAAAGATCTCTGATGACTTAAACTAAAGAACAAAAGCTTTGTGAGACCATGGCTGGCAGTTTTTTTTTTTTTAAACAAAAATATATGAAACTAAGTAATCCCCATCCAACATGACACGTATAAATGGAGTCTGACCTGGCTTCAGACGCAGCGAGGGCAAGATCAAACCTCATCTTGTCTCCGGCCTTGCTCAGGTAAATGAAATACCTGTGTGAGGAAGAGGAGACGAAGGGTCAGAGAAAGAGGAAGAGGAAAATACAGGAGAACGGGGTGAGCGGCTGAGCCTTCGGTGGTCCCGCTACCTGTGAGCCAGCTCCAGCTCTTTGACCGCGCTGAGCACGGCCTTCAGGTTGCTCTTCTCGTCCTTCAGCACCAGCGTGGCCAGCCTCTGCAGCACCAGGGCCACGTTGAACATCAGCACCGTGTCGCTGGGAGCCACGTGCCGGGCCTTCCCGAACCCAAAAAAGCACAAGGTTAGCCTCGACCGCGTGTCGGGGGGGGGGACGGCAAAGGCCGCTCACTCGCATTACCTTCAGCAGCATCTGCTTGCAGTCCTGGAGCTTCCCACACTTGAAGAGAGCCCTCGCGAGGTAAAGCAGCACCTCTGTGTTCTGGTATTTGTAAAATTTCTTCAGACAGTTCTCGTACTGTAAGGCCGCAGAGAGGGACAAAAGAGAGTCGACTAAACCGAACAGAAGAAAGACACTGGAGGGAGGTGTTGGTGTGGGCCTCACCATCTGCACGGCGCTGATGTACTGCTTCTGCTCCACGTAGATGTGGGCCAGGTTGAGCCAGACGTCGCTGATGTCGGCCGTGGCCTCCCTCACCTGCGCAAACACGTCCCGCGCCTCTCGGAAATAGCCCTTATGAGCAAGCACCGCGCCTGGGGAGTTTCACGATCAGCCCGAGTTAAGACATGCAGGGAGAGCGTAACACAAAAGGGAAAGCGTGAGCGGGAAAAAGCTGAGACGTACCGATGCCATTAGCCGCGTAGAGGTTCTTGGCATCGTTTCGCAGGACTTGTTTGTAGATCGCCAGCGCTCGATCCTGGTGCCGCTTTTCCTGTGGAGACATTAACACTTTGCATTAAATTAGGAGCACCCAAATCCGTTGAGTATACTGATTCAATGTTACATATCAGACTGCTGATATGTCTGAATCTGAGTAGTTTACTCGCTCTCAGAGGTGTTAAGTTGTCACAGGTTACTGGTTTGTTTTCTGCCTGTCTTTTCTCTGTCAGCTAGCTAATGGAATCTATAAACAAACAGGTGTCTGCACCTTTTCCCGGTCTCTGGTGGGTTGGTGCAGAGTCTGCAGCCACACGTTGCCCAGGGCCAGCATGGAGTAGGTGTCATTCTGCGTGGACGGCTGTTTCAGAATGCGCTCAAACTTCTTTTGGCCTGGCCCCCACTCCTGCTTGGCCAAGTGGAGGTTTCCGATCAGCGACCAGGCGTCCGGGTGATCCTGCTCCAAACATTGGACTGATGTCAGAGTTGTGCTGCTTCACACTGACGCCGCCAGACGGACACACACAGCCAGGTTGTACCTGATTAATCTGCAGGGCTTCTTTGAACCAATCAGAGGCTTCATAGAAGTTGCCTTTGTCACGAGCCATCGCTCCAAGACGCAAATAACCTGCGAGTTACCAAATAAATAAAACATTATTTTTCCTGTGAGCAGAAGACAGTCTTGCTCCTTTTTTTCCTTTTTTTTTTGCACTCTTACAGTCCACATAGTTAGGATGCTCCCTCAGGATATTTTTGTAGAGCTTCTCAGCTTCGTGGAATTCACACATGGCCTCGTACAAACGGGCCAGGTTGTAGGAGGTGGTGACAGAAATGGCGTTGTAGTAATGCTCGTCGTGCTCCCCCTCAGCTTTGGCCCGCTCCAGGGATGCTAGAAAATATTTCTGTCGGGGGCAGACGGAAAACGGTGCGAGTGTTTACATGCACTTTGTCATCGGGGCTAAAAACGATCACCGTACTGCGTGTCGCTGCTACCTTAGCCTCCCCCAGGTTGCCCAGTCTGAAGTGCAGAGCGCCCAGGTTGTTGAGGATCTCGGGGGGGACGTCGGCCTGCACCTTCTCCTGCAGGATGCGGGTGGCTGTGCCGTAGGCTGACAGCGCTCCCTGGATGTCTGTCTGCTCCAGGATCTGAGCCAGCTCGATCCACGCCTCCACATCATCTGGGTACTGCTCCGTCACCTTCTTTAAATGGCCCTTAGAAAAGAAGGAACAAACACACACATTTATCACAGCGGGGGCACAGTTTTATGCTCCATTTCGTCGAATGAGGATCCATAGGAAGCCTACTTTGGCGATGTCCCTCTTTTCCTGATCGTCAGACGTCGCGTAGAGTGACCCCAGGATTTTCATAGTCTCGTAGTTGTTGGGGTATGCCTTTAGAACCTTTTCAAAGCACTGCGCGGCATTCTCCTTGTCTCTTCGGTACACGTACATCTGTCCCAGACCGAAGAAGGGCAGCACAAAGGTGGACGAGGCAAACTGAGTGGCCTGGTAGTAGTACTGAAAGGCCTGGTCGTAGTCCTCCTGAAGGGGAGAAAAATACACGGTGAAAACTCTGGAAAACGTCCCGCAGGTTCAAACGGGGCTCGTTAGGACCTTACCTGCACGTGAAAGGAGCGAGCCAACTGATAGCAGCTCTCAGCCTGCATGGCCTCCACTTCTGTGTTGTGGAACGCATGCAGGGCCAGATGCTGGACTTTACTGTAGTCCTGAAGGAGAACACACGACCACAATCAGCTGACGGATTTCTAATTTTACGTTTGCCTCATCGTGTAAACAAAGGACAGCACGCCACAAATGGGTTACCTTCTTGAAGAAGAAGTGGTTGGCCAGGTGGTTAAGCACCATGGGGTTGCTGGGGTCGATGGTGTAAGCCCGCGACAGGAGCTGCACCCCGTTCTTGATGGAGTCCGCTTCTTTGTTGTTGAGCTCTAAAACCGCCAAACCAACCAGCGCTCCCACGCATTTTGAATTGAGTTCCAAAGCTCGTCCGAAAGCCAAACGAGCCTTCTCTAGTTTGTTGAGTCTGACAAAACAGTGGCCCATCCCCAGCCTCACTTCAGCTGCACACACACACGCACACACACATATAAAACATATTAGGAATAATTGTGGATCAGTTGATGTTTTAGAGCTTCATTTTGCTCTATAAGACATGCTTACGAGCGTCTTAAAGTTAAAGTTGAGGTTGGATTGATGCTCCTTTTTTACATTTCTTAATAAAAAGAGTTAATACCAAGAGTTTTAAATCAAGCATATCCCGTATATCAGATTTTTAATCACACCTTTTTGTAACCTAAAATAAAAAAACATTGAAAGAACTTAGATTGATGAAGGAAACAGCCATGATGTATTGAAGTTTTAACCAAAAAAACATTGTCTCACTGTCGCGTTATTTACCTGGGCAGCCAGGGTTTGTACGCAATGCCTTCTTGTAGTAAGCCAGAGCTCCTCTGTAATCCTTTTTATTGAAGGAGATGCAGGCCTTGCCTGTTTGAAAATGACAGCATTATTTTCTAACTTAATCAGTCACAGCAGGGAAAACTGATTTCTGAAATCTTTTTTAAATTCAACTTGCCAAGCAAAGCAGGGATGTTATTGGTGGACTGGTTGAGGACAAAGTGAAACTGTGCATCAGCCTGGTCCATCTTATCTCCTTCCAACAAGCAGAAACAGGCTCTTCCCAACAGATGGTTCTGATTGAAAGAACAACATGTTATAGTTACTTTAAAGGGAAAAACATCAGAGCCAAAAGCTGTCATAATTACTCCCAGGAAGTACTCCCTACCTGGTCATACATGATGATCTTGTCTGCCATGGTATACAGCAGGGTGGCCTGCGTGATGAGCTCTTTCTTTGCATCTTTGTTTTTCTCTTTACGTGCTTGTTGAACATAGTAAGCTGCCAAGGTATCCAGACAGGTCATCTGGTCCTTCTCGTGGTCTCTGTAGTCCAGGTTTCCATCGATACGTGCTGCTTCTAAAAGCTTGACAAAGTCTTCCGTTTTGCCCTGTTTGTAGTACTCCAACTGAAAAAGACGGGATGCAGACAGGCTTTTATTTTCCCACCATTTACATGACTCAGTTGTGTTTGTGGATTGTGTGATAAGATCATGTTTGGCATTATATGAAATGCAAATTTCATTAAGAGACAAAGAGACCATTACCACAATGCTCAACTGAAATTGTGTTGCTTCAAAATGACAGGGAAGACATTTCGGGAAACTAAAGATAATACATAAAACAAAACAAAAAAACACTAGAGGAAAGCCAATAAGAACAAGGTGCAGCAATGACTTACCGCCAAAGCAATCCAGATGTGTAGCTGTGTGTGTTCTTGCTTCAGGATGCTGATTACCTCATCTCCTTCCGGCAGCTGATCGAAGTCCAGCTCAATCACCTGTAAAATACAATGTATTTATGTTTATGTGTTTATCAGATGCTTTTATCCATAGTGACTTACAACACACAACATTACAATTGAGGTAGGAGGTACTTGAACTTGGTACAATTTGGTATTTTAATTAGAGTTTTTATTCAAAGGTTCAAAATATTGTTGAACATTTTGTAGCCACGGATTTTAAAACTATCTTTCTTTTCTAAAATAAATACCCTGATATATTATATGTGACATAAATCATAAATCAATCGTATTGTAAAAGAGCCATCTAAATTGACTGTTCACTGTATGCATTTCATTCAGATTTAAATTAATATCAGGTTAATTTTGGACTAGTTTATTTCAGTGTTAAGAGACATGTAGTCACATATTTTTGTTAATAATGTGATCTTAATAGCTCTTTATAAACCGTATAAATTCACCACGAGATGCTGTTGGCTTGAAATTTAGCGTACAATATATAGTGTTATTAATGTATACATGCAGCTTAAGATGATAGAATTTGGTTTTAGCGAATAAGTAAAAAGCTAAAAACCTTTTGTAAAGGTCAACATGTTAAGTTGCATTGATATGCCTGACAACATCACAGGCAACACAGCGCTCAGGAGCCCGAGCTCATGATTACGAAGAATGCTGAAACGTTTTCTAATGTTCCTCAAAGCACTGCAGTAGTTTATATTTCAAGGTGACCAACAGGTATAACGAAGCAACCCTGCAACCTGCCGCTATATGAGGCTCTGAACCTTAGCTCACGGTAGCTACGGTTAGCATCAACTGCTAGCATCACAGCGAGTTTTCATTACAAACACCTGCAACAAGTCAGCTCTGAACATAAGGTTTTACCTCATCGGTGTCCCGTAAAGGGATCTCTATGGAACCCCGAGACATCTTGTAAACGCCGTGCAATTCCCCTTAAGTTAGATTTATTAATAATATAAAATATCTAGTTCGTGGACGAATGGTTGCCTGTGAATGTTCCCTATAGGAAACAAACATACGGATGGTGCAACTGAAATGTCGTCCGGCGGGAAATATACAAAAAGGTTTCCAGGTTCCTTATGAAACTGATGCGTACTATATGCTGAGTAAAAACTGGATAAAACATAAACAATTACATTAAGTGACACTGGTACCTTCGCCATTAATTACTTTGTAATGTATTCAACCTAAGTGAGTTCGGTAGGGTTTTAACTTCGATGAATACCTAATTGAATAATGAAAGAGCTGCAGCTTTTTTAAATAGTGTCTGCCCAGACAGAATAATACTCCTTATTTAATGCATTTAGCATTTAATGTAAGGGGCAATCAAAGGCTTGGCTGACAGTATTTGGTGTGTTAAACTGGAGAATTAAAATTAAAATGTACACGCTACGCCATGTCTTCGACCCCAGGAGGTGGGCAGAAGGTGTCAGCTGGTTTTGATGTGAAGTAGTGAAAACAAACCAAGCAGTGCATCTTAACGAACACATCACAGTGAAACAGAGAAAGATGCGATAGATAAGCATGAAAGACGAAGGAGAAGACATGTTTGGCCTGTCAGAAGAGCTTGACTGAAAAGCAAGAATTCAAGTTAGTAACTTCTCTTTTAATTTTTAAAATGTCCTTGAAAATGTTTTAGTTTAAATCCGGTGGTCAAAATAGAGATTATGTTGTACCACACAGTAAGATTAAGTTAGATAATGCAGTCAAAAGCAGTTTAATCTGGACAATACTTTTTAAAATCCCCGATTCTGTCTTTATTATTATTAATTTCAGTTTATGTTGCTGTTGTTTTTAGAAAAAAAATATTTAAATATGGTTTACTGTGCAGAGGTAAATGTTTGATTGTTGAATAAGATACAACATTTGGGAAGAAGCCTGTCCATCATAACCCAACCTTCTCATAGCTCTGGGAGGAACTAATAAAACATGTCAGAAGGCCACGATGGTACGTGTACGTTATATCAACTTCTTCTGTGTGTGCACCGGATTATGTGCTAACATTTGTCTGTCTCAGTATTTGAAGCCTTGGGGTCATCTGGGTGTGAGATGGACGACATGCTTGAGGAAAATACAGTCTATAATGGATTCTCTGAAAATGAACTCCTTGACATCATCTATAATACATGTAATAGCTACAACAAAGGTGAGTGACTGAGTGGCATTTCTTCCAAACATGATTACATAATAGTACAAAATCTTTACTCATAATGTGCTGTTTTACTCTTTTTCTTAGGAGAGGTGGTGGCCTCCACCATAGTAAAATACCTGGAGACTCTGACAGCCCAGAGCACAGGACAGGACAGACTAGTTGCCCTGCGACTGCTGTTTGATCCCGATCATCGGGACCCACATGTTAGCAGAGAGACTTTTCACTCCACTATAAGAGAGTGGATCACCCAGAGCAGCCAGGAGAGGTTAGAGTCAGACAAAGCTTTGTAAGAGGAATCCATGACTGAATATGTCTTGTAATGTGGTTACTGAATGTTCACTTATTAGATTAAACATTTTGGAGTTGGCTAAAGAGCCCTGCTAACAGATCCCTTAATTCTAAAACCTTATCGGTCAAATTCATGCAGTTTTGCAGAGGTGAAAGTTTCAATGTGTTGTCAATGTCCTATATCTGTGATTGTTCATTTAATGTCTTATGGATGCCTTCCATTCAAGTTATTTTGGTTGATTTCTGAGAAATAAACACTACAACAATGTACATTTTTAAAGGACATAACCCAATAACTCTTCTGCTTCAGCTCTGATGTGGATGTCAGTCGCCTATCATGGCCAGACTCATCAAAAGTTAATGTAAATGGTAGGCTTTTACTGTTTAGCTGAAACTCTATAGAAGCATCTTATCTAGATATTGTAAAAAGAAAATATCTCATGTCTTTTCAGACCTAGAAATACCATTTTTTGAAAGTAAAGAAGCAACATTAGAGGATCACCAGTGTTTCTGGTTTGTAATTTCCTTCCTTTAATCATGCCTTGATTTTTCCTCCTATAATCAGTTTGCTGTCGTACTTAACAGTTTATAAATATTTTGTTTGATTTAGTGAAGGGCACGACCTGTCAAATGCAGTGGCTCAACTAAAGCATGCCCATCATCAGCTAAGAGAGAAGAACAGCAGCCTGTTGAGGACTATGGCTCAGTGTGAAGATGCAAACCTGCAGCTCAGTTTTGAGATCAGTGAGCTGCAAGGAAAGCTGGTCAGGTAAAGGACTCTCTTCTCCTCCAATTTTTTTATGTCACTCTCATGATCAATTCTGATTTGATCATTTCATTTAAAACAATAATTAATGTCAAGTTGTATATACTACTCTCATTGTGTTACATTTGAGTGCTAAACAAAACGTGATAATTTACAAAAGCTGCTATTAGCACATGAAAAGTACAAAGAAGTACAAAAAAGTACAAAAAGGAGGAAGTCAATGGGACAGTCCTTGACACAAGATGCAGGCATCCATTATACTGTAAATTGTAACAGACTAAAGCCATGCAGACAAAAAAAAACTAAAAAACTTCCCGGACCACAAAGAAAAGAACCGATGGGCAATGTCAAAGGGTGTACAAATATACACACAGAAGACTAAAGGGATTAAAAGAACTGAAACTTTTGAGGGTGTGAAAACAAGCAAAGAAATTGAGTAAAAGAAACCATACACAGGAAGTGACCATGAAAATAAATACAGGAAGTGATGAAAAATACATGGCTTGTGACTGGAATTTTAAAAATATTTAAAAAGTGTGTTTTCTCAAATGGCTAAGCAGCAGAAATTTAGCAAATTGACATTGAAGACTGAGCATATCTGCCACAGTTTGGACATGTTGGCAGTTGCACCACAGAGGCTGCTACACTGTGGCTTCAACATTTCCAAATGCTGAATGAGAATAAAAGTGTGTGCTTTACACTGACTGCATTAAGAAGCTCTAGTGTTAAACTAATGGTGTGTTTGCTTGCATGTTTGTTTAGAGCTGAGCGGTCAGCAGTCAGAGCCAGATCCCTGAGTGAAGATCTGGAGGAGACTCGGCTGGTGTTGACAGAGGCTCAGGAGAAAAACAGTCGCACTCAGAACAGCCTCACCAAACTGGTACACCAAACCGTCCCCCACAGCAGCATCAATCCAAGCTGGATTCATTTGGTCATGCCATCTTATTACATGTTAATAATATTTTCAGAGCCAGGAGGTTGAGCGCTTGAAGGCTCATATACAGACACTTGAAGACAAGGTCGATTTAAAATTTAAAATCCAGTCGTTCCTAGTTATTGTTACAAAATCAAAGTTGGTGATTTTTGATGTGTTTTCCTTCACACAGAATGAAAAGTTCACACTTGAAAGGACATGTGCTGAAGAAGGCCTCCAGAAGCTGAGGAAGGTCAACACTGAGTTGAAGGTAAAATCAGATCAGAGTGGGTCTTAAGATGAGTTCAAGCTGCTCGTGAAGTACTGATTTATCTTTTATTCCTGCAGAGTGAACTTGAAGAGACCTTGATCATGTTGACGCTGAGAGACAGAGAGATAAAAAAGGTCAGTTTGAGGTGTGATCAGTAGAAAGAACATTTGATAGTTTTTGTGTTTTTAACTTTCATTTTGAATTTTGCTCTCCAGAAAGAGATTATAATGGATCATTTGAAGAGGTCTCATGTGGAAAACCATAAAAGGATCGAGGTATGTTTAGGGGATCTGATAACAATGTAACCTAAAAGATTGAATGGAGCCTTATTGGAAAGGAAACACTGTGTTCTGGTGCTGCAGGGTCTGCTTTCCGAGACCATGAGGCTACAGGAGCATTCACATCAAGTTCTCTGGAGGTATTACTTAGTGAATCTTCCCTAAAAGATAGTGTCACTGACAGTGTGTTTTCAAATTGTAAAATCATTTTCACGGCAGATTCCAAAAATGATTTATAAAAGACAGCTAAGACAGCTAGTAGTTAAAAAGCTTAAAACACAAATACAGGACAGATGTGTCAGATATTAGAACCCAAACACAAACAACTCTGATCAGCATCATTAAGTGAGTTTCTCATGTTTTTGTACATTTTGGGACTGAAAGTGGGAAACTGACCTGTAGCCAAAGATAAGAATTGTGAGCATTCATTAGCAAAAAGCAAACATATGTGCATTATAAAATGATGTAATTTATTTTGTGTTTTAGGGATTTTCTTTTTACTACATTTAGTAAATATCTTGACTTTTTAGTAAATGGTTTTCAGTGGGGGTTGTCCTTTAGTTTTTGTCAGACCTGGAAAAAAACAGTTTGAGCAGCACAAATTCTTGAGCATAGTGCATTTCACTCACAGGTACAACAGACAGTGCGATCCTCCAAACAATCGGTCTTTGCAGAGTGAGATTCAGGACCTGCAGCAGGTTGGTACTGCACGATCCAAGGTACAGAACATATATTATATTGTCCACTTCACAATGTTTTCCATCTACAGCAGCATCACAAAGCTCAGGGAATCATCCACAGGGTCAAGGGCACAGAAAATACTCATTACCTGCACAAGAAATATCCTGTGAAGGTGAATAAGCAGTAAGAAAGAGGAGGATATTGGTTAAGGGGAATACAGTAACATATAGGAATTTAGCTCTCCTGTCTTCTCTGTCACACACATACACCTACAGGACTCTGCTGCTGTTCAGGAAAGGCCTTTTCCTTACTGCCATCAGCAACAGGCAAGCTCCACACCGCAGCTTCTCAATGTGTACGTGAGTTTTTTGCTTCCCTTTCTCCTGTTATGGTAACATATTGGATGTGGTGAATGTTAGTCTCTGTTCTGAGAAGCTTAGCTAATAAAAAAGGGTGTCTGGTTTTTAGAGTGTATTTATGGGCATTACACAACTAACAAGAGTTACTGTTTTCTTTGATGGGAGACTCCATCAGGGATAAGTGCAGTTTTAGTACCCCCTGGTAACTTCACAGCAGCATGTAAAAAAGTGGTTTATAAAGCTGTAGTTTCAGGCTTCAGGAGCTGGAGCTGCGTAAATGTGTGAGGGAGGAGAAAGGAGACGAGCTGGAAGAGCGGAAGAGGGACTGGGAGACAGAGACTGGGTGTCAGACTCAAATCCAGGTGGCCAATAAGGTGGCTGCGGCAAACTGGTGTAGAGCCCTCATTGTGGAGGGGGCAAAGGCCCGTGCAAAAGAAGTCACAGCAATCCATGAGCTCTCTGAGACCCAAACAGAGCTCCTGCAAGCACGCAAGAGCGTCGGTGACATGAGCAAGCAGGTCGGCCACCTGCCAGCCTCTCCAAGAACTCAGCAAGTGTCTAGTGACTCTAAACAAGCAAGTTCAGGTCATCACCGTGACCAGGAGGAGGACGCAGGGAGGAAGGAAGCAGAGTCATCAGGGGAGAAGGTGGTTAGCGACCAAAGGGATGCATCAGCGTCCACTGAGCCCGAGGATTTCACAGCCTCAGAGCGAGAGCAAACCCAGATGACTGCAGATGGGCTTCTGGCCACGCTCAGGAGGATGGAGGCAATGGTCAGCAGCGCCCTGGAGACAGCCAAGCTGGTGAGGCAGGGCGAGCAGAGGGTGTGCCATGTGAAAGAGAAAATGGACAGCATTGGCCAGAGGGCGGAGGAGGCTCTGGGGCAGGCAGCTGACAGCGATAAACAGCCCAACACTCCGGAGGCCGTGTTCACCCAGAGAGCCCAAACTCAGGTCGGTCCCTGTAAGAAATACCTACATTCCACACAGGCAAATGAGTTTTTCTGAATTAAAAAAAAAATCAAATCTATGTAGATACACATGTAAATTGTCATTTTATAAAAACAGCATGAAATTACAAGACATTTCCATATGAAAGTTATTAACATTATGGTCTAAAACATCTCACATGATTTATATAAATGTAATTTTGGACAGTTGGAAGTGTCATCCAGATTTGAGATGTTTAAGAAAGATGTTCAAATCTATGATGTTGGGAAAATATGTATGCTTGTAACAGCAGTTACTGTGACCAGCAGTTTGCCACACAACCGACATGGTTGCAGATAAATTTAAACTAAATACATCTTCTAGACCTTTGGTAAAAACTAAAAAAACATCTAAGTGGGAGCTTCTTTCGCAGTCATAAAAGTTTAGTTTTTGCTCACGAGGCATATGTGCCACCAGTAGTTCATGTACTTTCAGGGAAATGAGTGATACAGCATGAAATCTCTTCTCTCCCTCCATTCTTTCCCGAAGCCTCCAGTTATCAGTCTGCCAGCTGATCTTGGAACAGACACCACAGATTTTATGGATGATGTTGAACCAGAGGAAAAATACAGCGCTGAGTGTCCCCCTCTGTCTCTTCTATTCCCAGAAGCCACAGAGCTACCCATGAATGGTATGGTGACTGAATCACAGAAACATGTCTTTGGTGTTATTGTGGCAATGGGCTACACTGCGGGACAAAGATGAATTAAATCTGCTTCCCTCTGTGGTGATAATCCCTGAGGATGTCTGAAAATAGGCCGAACAGATATTTACATTGCACACAACAGCTGGTTCGGAGGAGGGAGGGTGCATGTCATCTATCAAAGAAGGCCATTTGGGAATATGTAGGGGCGGATCTGAATGATTTTTAAGCAAACAGAGACAAATATTTTTAGCAACAGGCTTTTTTTTTTCATTGAGTTTACATGAACTATTTATTCCCAGATGTTAGTACCCCCCCCCCAGGGTTTCAAATAGGCGGTTTGTTGTTCAGCGTTTAGACAGACAGGCTTCAACAGAGCAGGAAGGGAAGTTTTATTCAGATGTCTCCTCTGATAGCTCGCAAAATGGTAGTTCATTAAAAAACTATTTAAAATTTCAATGAACTAACATTTTGAGAGTTATCAGAGGAGACAAATGTGGAAAATGAACAGAAACAGAAACCAGTGTGCAGGTTTTGTGCTATGCTAAGGTAACATGCATGTTTACGACTTATTTACAATGACAATGAAGTTATTAAACTTTTTTTTCTACAAAAAAAACTCTCACCTCAAATGGTCTGAAGTTTGGGGGGGATGGGCGTAGATGGATGAGCATACTGGAAAATGCCTTTAGGCCCAAGAGAGGGTTCCTTTTATTCCACCTCTTTGGAAGGAGGTCATGTCAAATGTTTCCACTTTTTTTCCCTTTAAAAGAGTTCTTGTGGTAGACAGGGGTAAGTCTTACATGTGAATGTTTATTTGTGATGTAGAGAGGTTTTGAGCTTGTTTAGGTTGGTGAGAACCAGTAGGAGAAATGACGAATGAAAGCAGGCAAGAATTGTCTCAATGTCTGGCTGTTTATTTATTTTACAGCCATCCATCTAAAGTTGACACTCTGCTGTGCCATGTTGACATTGGCTTGTAGTTTGCCTATCAAATTAATCTTCAGCCACACATAGTACAGCCTTTGTCACTACAGCAGTAACAACAGCTCTGCAGAATACCAAATGACATTTTTAACTCTAAATTAAATTATTTTGCTTATCAGTGGCAAAAACATGAATTAATCAGGAAACGATTAACAAAATGACATCTAAACACAAAGAAACATCCTCAAAATGACAAAATAAGACATCCTCTTTCGGGGTATCATTAGCCCATCAGGGCTTTGTGCTCCCTATAAGTTTTCTCCAACTCCTCCTGAGGGGCCTTCAGCATCACAAAGACCTTCATATTGTTGCTACACCTTTAAATTGTTGCACTTTGGGAAGTGCGTTACGGTGCTAGTAGGCACATGGGAGCAGCAGAGCTGAGCTTGTCTCAGCTTTCTACACTTCTCATTGGATTTCACAGACTGACTCCCCAGTTAAGCTGCCAAAAATCTGCTTGAGCAAAGGATATTTTTCTTTCAGTCATGAAGATGAGGGCATAAACAGAATGGTGAGTCTAAGTTTAGGATCAAAATACCTTCTCCAATAAAAGTTTATGACAATCCATCCGATTGGAGTTGGGACATATAGGTCTACAGTGTTGAACCAACTGACTAACTGTACTGTACGTTATTCTTATCAATCAGTCAGGCTGCTAGCATTGCTACAATTTATAAAACAGTAAGCAGGCAGCATCCCTTACAAAAATAAATAATGAGCCTTTAAATGCATGCCAGTGCTACAGCTCCTGTCTTATTGTTGTCATTTGGATACCATCTAGGGCCCAATGGAGTGCTCCCCTCTGCTTAGGCTTGCAAAGATAGTTTGTTGTCTTTGAACTAATTTTACACTGTTTTGATAATAACTTAACCCGTGCATGCCATAGTAAGAACTGAAAGGAACAAAACCTGAAATGATTTATGTTGCTGTTTAAAAAGAGATTCAGTTAGATTGGGTGATGTATAAAGATCCTCTGGGCTGAGTCTAAATAATTTAGAAAAGCAATGGGACTTTAATGCTTCGCCTGCACAGGGATGGTAATAAACAGTGTGTTCTTTGAAGGGAAATCTTTAATTGAATGACAGTTAGAAATTACTTTCTTGGTGGAAGGTTATCTGAACTGTAGACTGTGCCTGAAAAACCTACCATCAGATTAGGCCCTTTTCTTATTCATGTTTGAATAGTCCTGCTTAATTTTTAGCTCACCAATTACCACACTGATGATAAACTCTGATGGTTCTCAGTATAAGGTCCAGGAGTTACTGGTATTTAGTCTTTTGCTTGTTACGACAACACAAGCCTTTCCCTGAGAGCCCCTAAAGCAGACGACAAGAGCTTTCAACCAGCGGATCAAACACCTTGTGTGCTTGAGCTGGTTGCCAGGTTATTGTTGCCCCTAGATATGGAAGTGGAGTGGGTGGGATATTTCCTGAAATAAGAGGTACAATAGTTTCTCCAATCAGCTGAAAACTGCACATTGAGCATCAGCTTCACAGGAAAGAGAACTAAATATATTTCTTCCCTTTTTGTTTTGCCTTTCTTCATCTGTGTGATGCACAAACGCTCTACTTCTTACTGATGTTCTTCTGTAATTGTTGCCCATTTTATTTCTGTCCCATGACATTTGCATTGCACATGCTTTCCTGTTAAATGCAAATCATCTGTTTTCACTGTATGCCTGTGCTCTGGTTGCAACAGGTGCAGCAGAACGAAGGAGCAGCAGTGAGGTAAGACGCTTTTCTACTTCATTTCACTTAAAAATGTCTCATTTCAGTGGTTCGATTGGATGCTGTTGTGTGCTCGTGTTTCTTTTAGGTTTGTTAAAAAAGACCTGTTTGGGAGATTGTTTTTTTTTGTGTCAGATATAATGAAAAGTGTTTTGAGTTTGAGTGACTGAAGTCTATGCATTGTACTAAAGCTTCTTGTTGCTTGTCTTTAGTTCAAAACACTTTTACTCTACTTTTTGACTGCACATTGCAATCCATTTCTATAAACCAGGACAATTTTATTGTACTTCCTCAACCCTATTTCACTTGAATGAGCAGATTCCAAACATTTAACAAACAGTTCACATAATACAGGTATCGATTTGAGTTTTTTTTTAGTTACTGCATGTCCTACTGCAGCCCAGGACAACATCACATGCCTCCGAAGATAGCTTCTTTTTTCACTCAAATGTATGTACTCACAACCAAATCTTTTGTTAATGGACTATTCACTTGTGTCTTAATACAGTTTATATGTACTATGTGAACAACTTAAACTGCATTGGATTATGGCTTTACCTTAATAACAATAACAACAAACTTGTAAAAAAAAAAAACTTTTAAATCAGAAGTTCCAAGAAGAGAAATAAGAAATTAAGAATTGGTATTTATCAGTGACTCACATTAAAAAAAGACACCGGATTTATGAACAGGGATTTTTGTAACAGAGCCATCCTCAGGTTAGGTATCAATTTTGTACTGTTAACATCACTCATGAAATGTTGGATGGAAATTGGGCAAATTTACATTCCAGGTTTGAGAATGCCCTTCTCTGCTGCAAGTGTACACTTAGATTTCTGTTTGGGAATCAGTTCCTGTCTTTACCACTACTGTTTTCACTGTTTCAGGGTTGTTTAAAAATGTAATGGGAGTTTATAAAATCCAAACGAGGTGATTGAGGTTTGTAAGGATTAACGTGAAATCTACTGGACAGGTGATGAATTTATCACCTTTTGAATGCCTTACCCCACAAAGTCAAAGTGACTCTGTAAAAAGAAAGAAACACACCATTTGTCTTTGTCTGCTTGGCGATTATTTGCTTATTTGCCTTGGGACCAGTTTGGCTACAACACGAGCTAAATCAAGCAAGGCTTTCCCCACACTCCAAGTTGTGCGTCTAAAAGTCCTTCTGCTCATTCCCAGGGAATGAGAGTGTCCACATTTTTCCTAAAAGTATTACGGAATTACAGTTATCTCTTCACATCAGTCCAGAAGAAGAATATACATGAAATCAGGCCAACAGAAGGCAGCTGTGTTTGAATCATAAGAGTATTAGTTTACCTATACTTATGGAGCCCTCTTCTGAAGTTTCATATTTTCGGAACCTCTTATGATATTATGTATCATGTCAGATGAAATCCCCACATTCTTTGCAATTTTTGCCATGCCTTGAGATTGGTTACTCCTAAATTGCTGACCTATTTGCCACTGTAGTTGTTCGTAGATCTTTTTCTTCTCTCTAATCTCTCAAAAACAGCCTCGCTTGGCTTTTTATCTTGTGACCTGTTTTGAATTAACCTAATTTGTTCTGAGAAGACCCACTGGGTTCTTTATTGGTATTATACAAGCTCTCCACTTTGTCTCTGATCAAACTTTCCTGACAAAAAAATCTAAATTAGAAAGCATTTTTCAAAATAATTTACAAACTGAGTCTTGGGGCCAGAGTCATGGTGGAGAATACAGGAGTTTAATGTGTATATAACTAAGTGATTGAATGAAGAATATTCGTAGTATGATATTGAAAAAAACTGAATGAGGATCTTCCCTCTTTAGCTCATTGAAAGGAACATGTGACTTTCTGGTAAATGTAGTTCCCTTCTTTCTTTTCACAGCTTCCTTAAAAAAAAGTGCTTAAGATGATCATCTCAGTTTAATTTAAAATGTGATGCTGTGATTTGCTATAGTTTAGCTTTCGTCCTCAAAACAATGCAACTGCTGTGCTTCTGTAATTCCCTGATACTCCGGATGATTGCCGCAAAACACAAAACTCTCACCAGTAAAAATGGAGCACAAATGACAGAAGTTTTGACAGAGCAGATTATCAAACATTAATGGATCTCAAGAGTTCGAAAGTGGATTTGTAGAGTCCTTTTGGCATGCGGAGTAAACACAGATCAAACGTACACAATTTGTATCTCTCCCGCACAAACAGCATGCGAAAGTGTTTCTTACACTTTTAGTGGAAAATGAAACAAACCCTGCAGAGAGAAATAACACACTTTTCTAACTTTCTTCAGGTCTGAGGGATGATCAGAGAAGCCTGAGAGCACACACACATGCGCTTACACACACCCTCACTCACTCACACACACACACACTTCACAGCAGCCTAAAGAGGAGCACAGAGCCCTTCTCCTTAAATGGTCAAAGCTCCCAAGAGTGAAAGAGAGGCTGCGGCTGAAAAAAGACAGGGAACGGAGGGGACGGGAGAAGGAAGGAGAAGCCCTGAGGATTGAAAAGTTTTTCTGGGGGAAAAAAAAGGCTGATAGGGACATTTCAGCCGCGAGAAGTCAATCTGAGAGGAGAGATTGGCCCGAGTGTGTGTTTCTCCACAGCACAGCAGCTACGAACTCAGGTAACGTGCATGCTCTGCGCGGAGAGGCTCCGGCCGCTGGTTGGTTGCATGGAGCTGTGGGGTTTTAGAGGGCGACCATGCAGCTTCTGCTTTGTCTTTGCAGCTGTGCACGCAGGTTTGTTGACAGCTTCAAGTTTGATTTGTAACTGCCGGTCAGAGTTTATACAGGAGCGCCTGCATGTGCAGGTCATCTGTCCGTCTTCTTGATGTGTGAATATGCACATGAAAATGGATTTTCCTTAGGCTCTGTGGAACCAATGTGCTCGCTCCCTGCATCTCTGAGTCCATCATCTTTATTTTTTTCACACTTCCTCTCCAATGTTATCTCACACTGTGCCTCTGTGGTAACCACTTCCTCTACTGGCCCTGTACTCTCTGCTTCACACAACCAAATTTTAAACAAATCTGGCACGAGGGAGTGGGCTTATGTAACAGAGAGGGGAGGTGGGTGCCGGTCCCATCGCCTCTCTTTTGGGACCGAGACAGCTGGACTGCGCCTCAGTGAGAAGTTAATTCTAACTCTGACGGTAGTGATAGACAATTGCATTTTCTTCCTTCCTTGTTTGTAGGAACAAGAAAGGAGTTGTGTTCCAAAGGTTATCTGGGCTCAGGGCTGTCTGCTCTGTCCTATTTCCCCACAGGAAGTAAACTGAGTGATTAAATTACTCTGTAATATTTATCTCAGTGCCGTGCTCTGCTGGAGAAACACTATGCACTTCCAGGCCTCTTGCATTGCAGGTTGGCACCTATATTGAAGCTGAATCATTTAAAAGAAGTACAAAGCTTCTTCTGTCTGTCGCTAATGTGTCGGAGTCACATGAAAACAGAAATCTCACGCCACAGAACCTCCAAGCTACCGTACTTTAATTGTATTTGCTTTTTGTTTGGTTGCTAAGTAATGCATTTTGCTGTAAATAAGACACATATTCAAAAGTCAGGCCTGCCTCCATCAGTTTTCAATGGGCTGTGTCTCTGGGACATGTTTACATATGACTTCTTTTTTGTATCATAAAGATTTAAACCACTCTTTTTTGTTCTGTCAGATTTCCTCACTGACAGTATCTCTGACCATGTTTACATATGAGATAATCCACCCGTTGAAAGTGCTCTTTTTGTATTTAAACAGGCTGCTAACCTGTTTCCAGTTAACAGATTTAGTTTTAACATGTCCTTCCAGTTTTGTTTTCACAGAACTTATATTTGCAAGAACCAGTCAAATGTTTCATTTTATACATCCGACATGTTTTCTAGTCAGCAGTACATTGTGTTTTGTAGTTTGCAGACTGTTATTTACATCATACAAAGTTGTTGGAATCAGTATTATAAAACATCCATCCATCCATTTTCAGAACCGCTTATTCCCAAATGAGGGCGCAGGGGGACTGGAGCCTATCCCAGTAGTCAATGGGCGAGAGGCAGGGTACACACTGTTATAATACAGAAGATATGAAATGCCAAGAAAAAAACAAAACAGTTAAAGTGATTGATCATAGAGAAGTGTGTCACTCTACTTTACAGGCATTTGTCTGAATGTTTGGTATATGTGGAAAATGTGAATTCTGCTCTTTTGACTGAGACTGAGAAAGGGAGCTGAATTTACTCCTGTGCAACACTATTTTTGCAGTCAGGAAATATCCGTGGAGCTCACTGGGAGATAGTTAAACAAGCCATTTCCTCCCCAGTGACTCACAGCCTCTCTGTCCCTATATGTTCCCAAGAACTTGTCATGTTTGTGATGACACTGAGCAGCGCTCCACATATTTTGTTATTCCGTTTTCTGATGGTTTGCCCAGTGTTAAGTTTGTGCCATTTCTCAGAAACAGGTGGTAATGAATTCCACCTCCAACTCAACAGATGGTGAACATGACTAAATGGCGTGTTCATCTAATATTTAATCAAACAAATATGAAGCACAGTAACGGATAGCACCTGTTTGAACACATCTTCAGTGTTTTGTACTCCTTCAAGTAGCTTCAAACAGCTCTATAAATGGATTTCCCTGGAATTTCAGCCATAAAGGAAAGAGAGTGTGCTGACACAATGATTTAGGATAACGGCAAAATTATTTTTGATTGAACTCGGTGATGTTTCAGTTTGAGCCACACAACTGCTGCAGTCCTGATAGTGAAGTTTAATGGATCAGTGACACAAAGATACACTTTTTTTTGTGGTACCTTTATAGCCCTTTCTGTTTGTTCTGAGCTCAGTGTTTGGGTCAGGCTGTGAAAGCAGTGTACACCAACAATCCAGAACATGTTTGTGGTCCGAACACTAACCATCCACCCAAAGTGACAGCATGGGAAGAAAAACCCAAAGCTCAACTTTTATTTATCAACCTCTGTCTCTCATATTGCTCAGAAGAAGGGCTGTATGAGTTTCACATATACAGTCATTGACCTAAATGCTCCTCTTGTAGATGTTTCGTGTGTTTTCTAATCAAATTAGACATTTTATAAATAATTTTCTTCTCCATCTAGGTTAGATAATCATCTAGAGGGTGACTTGATGCATATTCATGTGACCAAAATCAAAGTTTTTTCATTAAAGCTATCCTTGAATTCCAACATGGTTTCTCATAAATCACTTCTATATAATCTAGTACTGTTGTTGGTTTTGTGGTTCTGGCGGTGTCTCACTGCTAACTGGATGTGCAGCTGTGGCGATACGCTGTGAACATGTAAATGCATGTTGTTTTTTATGTGTTGCTGAACAAAAGACAGACGGCATCAAACAGATGTTGCTGGATGATGTTGCAGTCAGTCTGACGCTACATTAAGTGGATCGTATGAATTTGCAGACAAGTGGTTTTGTTATTAACTTTTTAAAATGGCAATGGCACCATCCAGGTGGTATCACTGCAGACATCTAGGTGAATGGAGCAGTAATTACTGATAATTAAATTATGAAATGCTCCATACATTTTTCCTTCTTAGTATCTATAAAAAACATAGCCACCTTTTAATCATGCAAGAGTCTAAATTCTGTACATCTGAGTAACAGGAGCCAAATATGTTGCAGCTTTGGGCAAAGGTTTTGTTTCTGATGAGTTAGCTCCAGTCTGTTTAAGGCAGTGGAAAATGGAGCTATTTTGAGATTTGTTTATGGTGTGAATCTGTGGTTAGCTCCTTAAGCTGTGGTTGGGCAGAAGGAGTTTCTTCCGTGAACAAATCCAATAACAACTGCAGATTTGAGGGGTTTTTGTCATTATCTGCCCAGGTACCTGCTCAAATTGAATGTAAAATAAGTAATGTCTTTACATGTTTATGATCTTACAGTACCAACAGGAGGAGAAACCTTTACTGCCGGGGTTACTTCTTGACACCAGGTGGTCTTACAACGCCCTCAGCGATAAAAGGGGACCTTTTATCTTCCCCCTAACCCGCTCCCGGCCTTCACTGCCACACATCATGCCCACACTACCTGAGGAGGAAGAGGACTCTCCTGAGGAACTGGACAGTCTCGCCAGCTCCCCAATAACTGTGAGTGCTCAGTCTGCTTTTTATTGTTTTTTTTGGCATAATTTCTATGCATACCACCATAGTCTATGATCTATGTGGGCATTACAGGAAAGACATTGCCTTTAAGTTAATAATTTCATTAACCTCTCCCAAGGAAGAGCACAGTGTTCATTTATTCAACCCTTTTTCTGTTAATAATTCTCCCCTCTGCTCAGACTGAGGCTTAGGTGCACTGAGAAAAACAGATGTTACCAATCCTGTGAGGTGAAAAATAATTTGAGGTGGCGCATCTATTCCTTTTTGGGCTATGTGCTCAGTTCCCTCAAAGAGTTTACCAATGATTCGGCTGACTCGTGGAAGGTTTTTGAGTATTTCTTGGCTCTTTGGATTCATTATAAATCTTCCAAATGTTAAAAAAAGCATGAAATCAGCTTATTCAGAAGACAGGGTATTTCCTTTCAGTCTTCAAAAAACACAGCTAAGCATAGTGATAGCGTTAAGTCTTTTAAGACACTTTTGATCATTTTTTAATAGATTTTTTAATGCCTAAATTATCTTAAAATTTTAGGGGATGTTTTATATCTTTTACGTTGGGGCTTGTGACATATTTGTTGCGCGTGGTGAAGCTAACATGACAATGTATTCAGCCATGTTGCAACAAGATCAGAAAACAAAAGTAGCAGGAATGCTCCATATATGGGGAATTCTGAGGAAAGAACTTCAACAAAGGTTCACATTAGTTTGAAGGCTCCAAATAAAAACAGTTAATATTATTTGTCATAATACAATAGCTTTTACAGCTTAAAGATTCAACAACAATAATCCGCATCTCAGGGGGTTTGGTGTCCTCCTCAAAAGGTGCAGAGTAGCTTGTATTTGAGACATCAGATTTGACCATTACTGCATTATGTGGAGCATCAAACTGTTGTGTCCAGAAACCGATTCACCAAATCAAAGTCCAGGCCGGTAAGAAGATGATTATGGAGTTTTACAATTTTACATTTATATTTGATGAAGTCATTGAGCCATGGAGCAATGGCAGCAAGCGATGATAAAGATCTCGGATTGAACATAGCTGACAGGCACACGCGCTGATGGAGGTGATAACTTTATACAGAGCAGGTGTAGCCCAAGGGCAGGGCAGAAGACACATTTGAATAAACAAAGCAATAATTAACAACATTATAAAACAGGAAGTAAAGTATACCTGAGCAGGAAAAGCCATTAGAACACAAATTTAAAAAGCCAAGGAAAAACTATTTAACTGAAACTTTTATTACATGTACATGTATTTTAATTCGATCATCAGGAATCTTCTGGTGAGACTTCTTCTGGTGAGTCAGTCACAATGACTGACTCCTGTCAGTGTTTTTTTTTGTTTTTTTTGTTTTCCGGTACAAATCCCCAGGAGGGGTTTGGCCCCTCACCCAATGGCAGTTGGTATAAGCTCCTGCCCCCACCACCCCACCCGCAACCTTCCAAGGAACAAGCACAATAGAAAATCTATGGATAGAACACTGGACATTTTCATTTAACCTCCCTCTGGTGTTAGGGTCGGCACAACCCATTTTTAGGTTTTTAGGTTTAACACCAGAGGAAGCATTTAAAGGTGCCAGACTATCAACCTCTGCATGAACAGTATTGTCACGTGTTGGGAGTTCTATCAATAACTGTCAACATAGACGTCCAGAGGACTTGCAGGATCCTGTCTTGGAAAGAAAATATCTCTTGAATTTAAAACGTTTTTTGAGCACCACGCGTTACTGCGCATACAACCATGTTGAAACCTTGGCAGACTAAGCAAAACTTACAAATGAAGTTCAAATAAGTTTTTTGCCATTTAAGTGAACTAAACAATTCTAAATCACAACTAAATTAATAATATGACATGACTGAGATCCAGTTCAGATTCTGACTGTCCAAAAATCCATAAAAATGAAGCGTTAAACAGCACAGAACAATGTCTTTGTGTACACCCTGACTCGATAAGACACATTAGAATCATATAAAACACCTCCTGTGTTAAATGATTCTCCGGAACATATCAAAACCGCAAAAGTGACCATTTTATTCTGTCTGTATATTACATCAGGGATTTCTTTTTTTTTAGGTAGGTTTTACAAAGATTCTCTTTCAAAGGAGTTTCTTAAAATACTTACCTTTGTTAGTTTCACGAGAACCTTATACTGTAAAACTAAAAGTGTATGACTTTATTTGATAAATGATTGTGTTTTAAGTTTGTTAGATAGATTTTTGATGATCTTCATCATAATTCATTGTGAAATGACAGGCTTCTTTGTGTTTCCAATTACACTTGAGAATAGCATTCAGCTGATTTTTAAGCCGTCTCTAATACCTAGGGCTTTCATTTAGAAGAAATCATTTGGTTTCTGTGACTGCTCTCAGGCCCGTGTTTTAGGGCTCCAGTGGTGTGGTCACACAGGATGAAGAAACATTTCCTTCTTTGTCTTTCTTTTTGAACAATTTTCCTTGACCTCAATATGAAAATAAGAAGGCAAAGCCGCTTTCCATAAATGGCAGACTGAATTGAACCAATGGGGAGTGATCAATGCAAACAGGCAAAATCATGAAATGCACATCCTTACATCAAAACTGCTTCATTGAGACTGACTTTATATCAACCAGCACTGAACTGTTTTTCAATCTGCTCTATTTTTTTACTCACTTGCATCTTCACCACCCCCACATTTATGCTTGAAATTTTATTACTTGCACATATCATACTATAAAGCACCCTTCCATAACATTCAGAGAAATTTAGACTTACTTGCTCCGGGAATCATGTGATATCCCTGATAGTCATTATTGCTCAGCTGGGTTCCCTAAACCACAAGTCATTGAATTTCCTCTTTATAGCCGCTAATGTTTGTCGCTTTGTAATTATGCAACCATGAAGTTAGTGATTAACCTTGATGCATTGAGTTATGACATTACATTATGATAGAAATATGTCCCAGTTAAACCTCATTTCGGATAGATGGTGAGAGCCTCCAGGCTGTTTATAGCTGTTTTCTGTAATGTGATTATTGGCAGTTTATTTGGAGACATGCCGCACTACATACAGTTAATTCTATTTAACTTAATCATGAGTCCTTGAGGCTTGATTTTTGTTGAGTGACCTTAATGTTCTATCAAATTATAACAGATCAGGTAGTGTACTCGGTACTCTCTCTGATGGGTGCAGCACGACAGTATCGAGAGAATGTGAAGAAATAGAGCTTTAAAACAAATTGAGGCTGGTCAGTTATCCATTCATGCTCCATGCAATCCCTTCTTGGCTTTGTGGTGTTGTTTTTGCACAGTTAGCACCAGGGGAAAGCCGAGCCGTTGTCATGACCGCTCCCACCATCGTCTACCCGCAGCAAGCAATTTTTGTCCAACAAGATGGGCGTCCTCTGGAGCAGACCAGGTAATCACCCACTTTATCAAAATATGCAATCGTTTTCTCGTTGTTATTTTAGCCATAAACAAAGATTAGTTGGTTTGAATCATTACTGTTTCCTCTCCCAGGCCACACAGTCCCAGAGCTCGCCTGGCAAGAAACTGCTCGGGGGGACCCATCACTACAGTCGGTGGGTAATTCCCACAAACAAACGCACAAATATGCTGCAGCTGTACCAAAAATAAACACCATGAGAACTGTTTGAATAGAATCATCAACATAACCTGCTTTTTTAACCAACCTGCTTTACTTACAACTCCGGAGTTGGCTCAGACCCACCAGCTGCCATTTTTGGCATTTTGGAGAAAATAATCAGACAGGGCAAGGACCTACACATCCTCCACGGCTCTGTTAACAATTCTGCTGCTGTTGAGTTCAGTTAAGAACAGAACAATAAGGGCTTCATGTTAGACTTACTGAAGTTTGAACTATATCTAAACCCGCCCCACAGTTTTATGAATAATGCATTAGGCTTTATTTTCCACAGTCATGAACAGCTAATATTGCAGCTCTCATAGCAGATCTTTTTAATCGGTCGCTTCAGACAGCAGGATTTCCAAAGGCATGGAAAGAGGGCAAACTAGAAGTGGAAGTCAAGATTCAGTTTTTGATGGGGTTATTGTTACTGTCTCGACTGATTGTAGATGCCTGGATCCATGGTTTGACAGGTTTGCTGCTGTTATTAATGTTGGCACATTAAGGGTTTGTGTATGCCATAGATTGATGGTTTTCTAGTGCCAACAAAATGATTTATGGTGTCATCTCCCCATAACAATTTTGATTTCTTCAGTTGATATTCTTTAGTTCTTGGGTTAATATATTTAGTAATTTCAGGCTGGTAAAGTTACTTTTGGCCGTGTGAAGGTTACCCACTGGCTGAAGCTGAGTTATTTCATCTGTGGTCAACAAGAGCAGGCGTTTATTAAACTCACTGAAAGACTCACAATTGTATATGCTTGCCTTGAAGTGAGCCAATCATTTTGAGCTCACCATAATCACCCTTTGATCTCCAGAAATCAACTATAATTTAGAAAAAAAATGTCAGAATTTTGATTAAAATACGCAAAATTTCTCCTAAAACCAACATAAATCCACCCCCACCAAGAATGAGTAGTTATATCTGAAGTTAACAGAATAATCAACTCATTACCTTGAGGAAAGCTACAGTTGTAACACTGCAACAGGCATTTATTTTAGGTCTATTTTAAATATTCTAAATATTTTTCATGCTGCTTTTAATTCTTGTTAGATTAAAATGTGTTTTAAAAAGATGGGAAAAGCCCATAAAAAGTCTCATAAATATTTTACCTTTTAAGGGATTTATAGAGATGAAAGCATTGCTTAATTTGATTAATTTCTGGTAAGAATGATAAGAATCAGCTTTTTTTTGTTGAAACTTCATAAATGTGCCAAAAATGTACTTATAATCTCTACATATATAAAACTGGAAGAGATAGCTCAGGTAGGCTTTTCTCAAGTTTTTAATTAAATGACAGTTTTCTTGCAGTTTTCAGTCACTGAAAACTGTCAGAAAACTCTTCCAAACATTAAAGTGTTAATAGAGTTCATTGTCCTTCTCATGCAGACTTACCTTTATTTAGTTTCGATTACACTTTTAATGTGTCATTATTTTTGTAGAAATAAAAAGGAATAAGAAAAGATTATTTTTATAGTCTGTAGAAACATAAGAACCATTACCACATTTAGGCAAAGACTGGAAATCTTCCTCCTGAAGCAGGAATCTGCCGGTGTTTTCTACCACATGCCTGAAATGTTTTTGCTGATCTGATTACTTTTGATGTTTAACTTACAGTACTGACCCTATCAGATGAAAGTAGGAGATAACAAATCCCCTGACTTTGCCAACACTCAACAGGTGATTTATTGGCTTTAATTAATCTGTAAATTATTACTTGCCTTGCGACTTAAGATCAAAGAATTTTGTTTAAGTGCCACTGACATTACTCTAATCCAAGAGCACTCTAAGGATTGCCAGGATAGTTTTTTGTGCTTAAAAACATGCACTTTATCAGTGTAATGACATTTTAAACCTTCATTCTTGAATGATTTGCTTTTGCAATGAATGGAGCTCACTCAGACCACCGCCAAACAGGAAGAAACATTTGTTTTGTGTATTTCAGACAGCACAGGTAATGTGATCGACCTGGTGAAAGACCAGCTGCCAGAGCTGCAGCTGTCAGAGGAGGATCGCCAGAAGAACCTGGAACTGTTGGAACAGGCCAAGATGGTCAGCGACCGCTTCCTCACGCGACGAGGACGCAGATCCATGAGCAGCCTCACCGACTCACCCACCGGTGGTGTGTGCACCGACCCACACGTGCACTCAGAAACCCAAGCATCAAACCTTTCAGTGTTGTTGAATGCTGTATTGGTCACGCTAGGAGTTTTAAAGTACCACTAGGTTCAAAGTTTTCACCGAACTTGAACTCAGACTGGTCTGATTGGTCTTTTTCTTTGTCATTACTGTATTACATGTAGTCATATCTGTCAGTAAAGAGACCTTGTAGGTCTTGCAGAAATGCCTGAGACATTATTGTTCCCACCATTGTTTTACCACACTCTGGGTTCAGTAGGAATGCATTTCCTTCACTATGTTCTAAGTCATACTTTCTGTACATTTGTTTGCTTTAAGTTTTGCTCTTGCTCCAGCTGATATTTCACTCACAAGCACTTCAGATCCTCCCCAGAAAAAAATCATACAATCAGGATATTCCATCAACGTCTATGAGGTCTCCTGAAGCTTTAATTAATCAGTTTATTCAAATATTACACACACAGCTACTGATGAATGCTAATCACTGGCATGTGACATCCAGAACTTGTCCCCAAAAAATTCCAGTTTTGCTGCATTTCCTGCAGTGTGAACAGTATAATATATCCAGCCATCTGAAACTAGGTGGCATGTTTTATGGGTCTGCCATAGCCTCTTTCTAGTCATGGTTATCAGTGTGCATGGTCTGTGTGCACCATATTTTCCAAGGAGAGCATAGCAAATCCCCATGGGACTCATTGGTAAAAGGAATTCAATTTAAGACATTCATGACCGAATTAGGTCAAACATAGTCAGTTTCGATTAATATGAGAACAGTCTCCACTTACTCTTCATTGCAACCGAGAGTTTGAGTGTATGACATTGGATTACAGTTTCACCTCCCTTTATGTAGCTTTACGCAAAGGTAGGGAAGCCCCACAGAGAGGGGAACAACAGCAGTGATTTTATTAATAATTAGCGGTTGTTTGAGGTGTCTGTCACTTTTCCAGTGCTTGAAATATAAATATCTCATGATATATTTGGATCTGTGGCTGTGAGAACAGTGATTTAGATCGAAATACTTCCAAATACTAAAGTTTATGGCCTTTCACAGGGTCACACCATTGATGTCTGTCATGTTTATACTAACCAATGAAGTGATTAATAGCAATTAAAAGTAGAATTTTACATTATAATTGCTTTTTTGTTGCAGTTTGTTGGCTGTTTTGAAGAGAATAGTTTTGTTCACCCAAGTTATTTTCCCCACAGGCCTTTCTCCAGCTCTGACACCGTCATCTTCACCATGTTCATCCAGAAGCAGCTCACTGATTGTGGCCCCTCACCCTGGTCTGTACTTCTCTGTCTGTCTTGGTTTTCAAATGCATAGCCACACTCTGTGTCCTACTATGATTGTGCATACTTTGTTTTACCTTTGATTTATCTGTTGCCAGCCTGAAACCTACAAGGAGCTGATTTTATTCTAGTTTTAACATTAGTTATTTGCAGGTCTAACTAACCCCCCGCAACTTGTTGTCTTTGAAACACAGGAAGTTTGTTTATACTTAAAGTTGTTCATAAGTTCGACAGAAATAACCTAAAGAGAACTCCCTCAAATGAAAAGAACTCCCTAGCACAGTAACTTGTACATTTATTTTTGCTGTTTCAGCTATAGTATCCTCAGAGATGACACAAATCAGCACACAGTCGACTAATCAGGTAAAGATCTGCTTGTTCTGACAAAAATCAGCACCCATAATACAAGCATAAATTACAATACTTTAATCATTTGTTTGTTTCGTTCTATTCATTAAAACTTGATTCTAATTCTGTAATTCTGTACAGTTATGCTCCTTAACCATCTCATTAACTCAGTAACTGTGGGTCCGACTAAACATCATTAACACGTGAAAACTTGGATGTTCTCTTGTAGCATCTGGAGGTGCCTTCAGTGAGTGAGCAGCCTGATTTAACCAACAAGGATCAGGAGGTCAGATTAACAGACTAACTGCATGGCATGAATGACAGACATAAACAACGTGTCAGAGTTTTACTTAACCTTTCGCACTCAAGTTCACACACTGCTGATTCAGCTCTCCTCCAACAGGGAAATGTCTTTGTGTGCACAGGAGTTTAAAAGCAGAGAAACTGTATCAACACAGCTGATGACTAAGAGAACGCAGATGCAGTTCCTCTTATTCCTCAGTTGGTTCACTCAGGGCATTTATTAGCCAAACAGACAGGAAGCACCAGTAGTGACTGTCAACAGACCTTTTCTGCCAAAAATACTCACAAACAAACCCCCCTTTTCAGTTGTTTCTACCGATTCATTCTTTTTAGTGACAATGTGACATGTCAGTGTGCTGTTCAATTGTATTTCTGATATTTAAAGAATGCCTCAAAGTATGCTCCTGTAGGCCATGTAGTTTGTGTTCAGCTTCAATAAGAAGTCAGGAAAGAATTCAGGAAATGAAAGAACACAACAACAGACACCTGCAGTGCTTGATGAAGTCTGTGAGAGGTTTTCAGACTGAAACACATCACAAACGCTAAATACTTATACTTGGATATATCGTTTTGTTAACCCCAGGACCAGATCTTTGTGAACTGGAAGTCTGCAGAGAAAAGGAAAGTGTCTTCTGGGACTCTAAAGCCTCGATTTGCTGTGCAGAAGGAGAACTGTGATCCTGCCAGGCCTAAGAGTCCCTCGTCAGTTAGTAAAGCAGAAGAGGCTGCAGGTCGAAACCCAAATCTGGCCCCAGCCACAGGGGTGGCCAAGCCCGTGCCCAGACCTCCTACTCAGCAGGCCCCCTGCACGGCAGAGATTAAGACAATTGGAGCATTTCCTCCCCTAATGAGAGCAGTTTCCTGGGATGCAGTAGGCAGCCTTAATTCAAGAAGTGGAGCCCCAAGTTTCCCTCTTGCAGTTGAGGATACTTTCTCAGATAAACCAAGAGATGTTGCATATAAGTCTTTAGCGTATAAGGATTTCCCCACCCATCCGGGAAGTGTGCAGAAACTATCTAAACTCAGAGAGGTAATGTATCCATCTTTGCTGTTATTTTATTCTTATCAACTGAGATGATGTTATAATAACATTTCTGTTTTTGTGCGTTTGTGTACACAGGAGCACAAGCTGATTCGCAACCAAAGCACTGCAGGATCCAAGTTACCAGACTTAAGTGAAGCTGCAGAACAGGAAAAAGGTAACTGTCCAAAGGACTCTTTGTAAAATAGAGGGCACTTTCAGCAGTATGACAGATGAGATAGAGAGTACTTTCCGCAGTAGGACACAGGATGGACACTTCCTGAATCTCAGGAAAAAGATTCTGCTCCAGTGGGAAAAGATGATGATCAGGTCCAGTTTTTTTTTTTTTTTTTTTTTTTTTTGTGACACCCATTTTACTGGCAAACACAGAGTGAAATGCGCTTTTATTTTCCATCAGCAGATGGCATGATTGTTAAAGCACGCAAGCAAAAGACCCCTTGATGCCATTAGGGTGGTTTTGTTGGAGACAAATGTAACACTTCAACATAATAGAATTACCTATAATAATTTAATAATAGCCCTGCGATGGACTGGCAGCCCGTCCAGAGTGTACCCTCACGCTCACACATGCTGTTTATTTGCTGTTTAACTATTATTATTATTATTGTTATTATTATTATCAAGTTCTCTTCAGATATCTGGTGATTCTTTTGAGGACTTTTTACATGTATCTGCAGGAGCTTTACCCTCTGTGAAGTCAGCCAGTGGTGAAGAAACGAGGGAGAAGTCTGACGCCATGCCAAACATTTCAGACGTGATGCTGAGAAAACTCAAACTTCATCGTGGTCTGCCGGGCTGGTGTGTAAGAAGCAAACCACTCCACTTCATTCTTTCTGTTCAACACATTTTTGTATTGATCTGGTAAAAGCGAGCCTCATTACACCGAATTGTGCAATGATATGTTTATTACTTATTTAACAAACATTTATTCTGTTTCATTCCAGTGCACCTCCACTCACTGAAAAAGAAGTTGAGGTTAGTGTCTCCTCTCTGCTGTTCAAACTTGGAATTCAAACTTTCTGCATTCTAATGACGTGCTATCACTTTTATTGTAACCAAATATTTTTAATATATAAGACAGTATAACAGCAAGGATGACCTCACTTAAGGTTGAGGTCCAATTAAAAACTAAATAGAAGATGAGAACCATCAGTGCCATCAGGAGTCCCCCATTTGAATCTTTACGCGCTACCTGTATTAGCATGCTGTTACAACAGTAAAAAGGAACGTCCTTCTGTCCATGTTTCTAAATGGTGATGCTTGTGTAACTTTAATGAAAAATTTCCATAGTTTTTCAACAAGTGAAACCACTATGCGATGAGTAAAATATTATCCCATTAGTTTAAACCTGAAAAAAAAACTCATGCCATTTTTTTGTTTTCATGATTCTAAAAAGACAATTTAAAGATTTTTCTGTCAAATTTTATGTTTCAGACTAGTGATAAATGGATAATAAGAATATAAATATCTTTAGTCTTTAAATCTGGACTCAATCAGATATTATGGTCTCCTTTGGATCTTCTCTGTAATGAGTAATGACTGATGCCCATAAAAGCTAAATAGAGTGGCAGTTAGCAGGGATAATGGAGGTGTTCTCTACATACTTTCCCAATATTCCGCACAGAGGAGGATCGTCTATGCTGCAGTAGACGTTACACTGTTACAAGGATGAACTGAGTCCATTTGAAACAATAAAATCTAGATCTAATCATCATTCTGTCAATAGAAAAATACGGGATGAGAAGAAGATGGTTTTACCTGCAGAGTGGTCTTAAACATCTGCGGACCTACCTCAGAGACAAATAAAAGCCATGAATTCTAAGTATTTCATTATTATTATGAATCTCTAAACCTTTCATTCAAGAGACAGTTCTCACCACCACATCAATGTACATCCCAATTCACAAATGTGTCACTTTTAACTTTTCCATGAGGCCTTAAATGTTATAGTAAAGGGTGAAAGTATCTTAGACTCAGAACAAATACACAATTATTACTGATGATATAAATGGGACAAACTGAGAATATGGTTTAATATTGTGTTTTTCTTTTACAGTCAATGTCCTCACTTGCCATTGAAATGAGCCACCGTGATTAAGGGTCCATATGTCTTATAACAACAAGTAATAAAATTGACTGCCAACAGTAATTTTGTTTACCTTGAACAGAGCATTGTGTTCAGACTCTCAGACACTGGAAACAGATGGCTTGTTCCACTTACGACTGAACCTTTTCCACATGTTTATAATAACCTGTTCTGCTGCCAGAGGGCTCAATTATACACTGGTCATAGAATCGCCTGCCTAGATTTGGCGGTATTCTGTCAACAGGAAAGTGTTTTGATGTTCCTGATCAGACCAAAGAGAGTTTGAGCGCTTTCCTGTGGAGAAAATGCAAACGGTCATGACGTCGTCCAGCTCGGTCTGCTGCCCCACTCACTGCTCCCTCTGGGTCTGCGTCTGGGTCAGGACAGTCAGAGGTCATATATTTCCTCCCTCTGGTGGCCCATATGTTGGAAAACTGTGCGGGCCGACTTTGATCGGCATGGTTAAACATCGGCCGGTCAAATGTCAGACTCACAGCTCGTTCCCATGTTAGTCTCATGGTGGCCTGATTCTCCCTCACGTGTTTCGTGTCACTGTTGTCCTTGCTTAGCTGCGTGTTTGCTAGGCTGTGCAGAGAGTTCTGGGAAATATCATTCAGTTTATGAGTCTTTTTATGTGCCAGTACAAGTGTTATATTGATTCGTCCTCTTCACAGAATGCGTTTGTCCAGCTGTCCCTGGCATTTCGTAATGACAACTACACTCTGGAAACACGAATCAAACAGGCTGAGAGGGAGAGGAACCTGACCGAGGAAGACACGGAGAAAGAACTTGAAGAGTTCAAAGGATCCCTGAAGGTTTGTCCCTCCAAAACATCAGGCCTTATTGCATTGTATTTATTGTTGAGGTACATCTTTCTGTGGAAGTGTCACTGCAATAGTTTTCACCCTCCAAAGTCCAAAATCCAGTGGTATAAGAGGCTCTGATTGTTATTTGTTGTATGATGCTGCTGTGTTTCTTGCAGATGACCGCTCCACAGTGGCAGAACCTGGAGCAACGTGAAGTCTACCAGCGCCTCATAGAGACAGTGGCAGTGCTGCACCGACTGGCCACTCGACTCTCCAGCAGAGCGGAGATAGTTGGTGCTGTTCGACAGGTGGAGTTGACTATACAAACCTGCTAGAAAGTTAGTGATTTATGCCTCGTGGGAGAAATAGGCCATAAACCTTCTAACCACAGTTTGATACTTCGGTTTGGCATTGTTGTTTGTTGGATTTGTCTTCCTCAACCACTGTAGTGTGTGTTTATGGTGATAAAGAAAGAAAAAAACAATGAAATATTTTGTATGATGTCAAGGCTGGTCGAATGCCAACCAAAGCAAATCTTAAGTGGAACGAGCCGCAACTATTTTAACCCTAAAACTCTGGCACTACCTCTTAGATAACATCCTAATTCTCTTTGCACAGTTCTAGGTTACCATAAATGGACATTTCATATGCACAGAACTGAAAAACTCTTTACATTTAATGACAAAAAATGCACAAGAATTCCTTTCTCAAAGCTCATGAACTATTCTCCCATTTTTGCATCGGTGCTTGATTTATTTATTCTTTTTTTTTTTTACAGAGAAAAAACAAGTTTTTACGTTGATTTTTATTGTCTTGGCCCCTCTTTTAAGAGAAAAGTTATAGGCAATCCATTAAAGTTAATGGATTGATTCAGAAAAGCTATTTGAAAAGAAAAGTAAAATATGGTGTATGCTTTTATATTAAGGGGTTTAAAAAAATCCCTTAGATATCAATGAGCGTATAACATCTTTTAAAGATATGTCCAATACATAGATTTGCTTCAATCTGCAGAAATACATAAACCTCCTCGCTGTTGCAAATTTTTTAGTATCTGGTCCACATTTCTTGGGGCACAGAAGCTTTTTTTTTCTGTTATGAAGTGACGTCCTGCTCTTTGCCGTGTGACTAAATCAGAGCAAAACATAAGTCTGTCTGTGTTAGACTTATTCTTTCATCTCTAGCGGTCACAGTCAAGAAACTATTTCACTGACAGCCAAATATGTGTTTTCCATCACAGTGCGTTTCCTTAGATAAACCACCTGCATTTGCTCTCATGGAGGTATCGTCTTTGATGCCGAGAGCCCTTGACAGGCCAAGATGTTGTGTAGCGGCTTATCTTCAGCAAGAAAATTGCTGAGTTCATCAGTACATGCCGTCTTTTTACAAAATTGCCATGCTGCTGATTATACCCAAATATTAGTGTCTGCTCTCTTTGAGGAGAATGTTGAATTTTTAGACTTTTGGTGACCACTTTTAAAAGTTCCTGCAAGCAGCCAGTACACTGTAATGCCCTTCAGTTAGAATAGAATCTCAACACTTATATAACATGTTGATTTCTTCCTCTTACAAAGCAAATGAACATGGAAGTTCCTTTTTCTGTGCCCATACCATGACTGATGGAGTTGCTCTTTGTTATTTAACAGGAGAAACGCATGAACAAGGCTACTGAGGTAATGATGCAATATGTGGAAAACCTGAAGAGGACGTATGAGAAGGATCATGCAGAGCTGATGGAGTTTAAGAAGCTGGCTAACCAGAATTCAAATCGCTGCTATGGAGGCTCGGGAGACACCGGAGGTAAGAAATCACCAAAGCTCCCAACGGCATGAGAATAAAATCCACGCATCATTATTTCCTCAAAAAAACTATCACGTAATGCCTTTCTGCCAGCAGTGGAATGATAAAATATTAATCTATTATTGGCCAACTCCTGGCTCGCACATTATTTGTATTTTTAGCAACAAACTGGAGATTTACCAGCTAGAATTTGTGATGGAGGAGGAAAGATAAAGCTGATGGTGTCTTTTTTAATAGTGATTTTTGTCCATTTTCTTCATAAAGATGACGGAGTTCCACGACCGTCAAGATCTATGTCTCTCACCCTTGGAAAGGTAAGCAATGAAATTCTTAGGGCTGTTCTTGGACTTAAAAATTCCCCCCACTGGATTACTTTTCCGAGCAGATTACGCAGTGATGTCTGTAGATGACAAATTTGTTGTGTTTATTCACACTGCAGGCCTTGCCCAGGCGGAGGGTGAGCGTAGCCGTGGTGCCTAAGTTCAACTTGCTCAACATCCCCGGGCAGACCCCGGTCACTGCCGGCCCGGGCCCCAATGCTGGACCCGCAACGGGCGCTGCTCTTCCTGTTCTGGTAGGTCTTCCTGTCCTGGTTGGAAATGATAGGAAATGAGGTATGAAACATTTGATGTAGTGACACACAGAACGTCTGCTGAATGAGAGGTCATCTGGCGGTTAGAAGCAGACTCAGCTCTTTTGATTTAGTTTAAAAAACTGTGATGTAAAGTCTTTGTCTGGCGTCGCTGCAATTTCTTTGTGATACAATAACTGTATGAAAAATTGCCAAAAATATAAAGCACTTACAATTACACAATTAAAGATGACTTTGTGGATAGAATTAGTATGTTAAAATTCTCCACTTCAGTGTGAAGCAAACGACGTGAAAGGCAGCCCCTCGCCAGAAGCAGCGCAGCCAGCAGCAGATTGGTAACGTTAATACGTACACACACTCACACACGTAAACACAATGAACCAGCTGCATACAAGTCAGGTGTCATTGTTTAATTTTGAAGGCCATTCCACAGCCCTGGAAACAATGGCTCAGACGAAATCCTGAACTACTTATCCCTCTTATCAAGTCTTTTTGTGCTGCATAGGGAGTTTCGTCGTGTTTATGTGACCTGCAGGATGTGTTTTAAAGTGCACAGAGCTAAAGCTAAGACTGGAAGCATGAGAAAAATAATCAAACGCCCTCGAAAGAGGGCCGTGCTATCCTGGGTAATCCAAACATTTGTGAAAAAGTCTGACACAGTCCAGACGGCTCAGATCATATTGTGGTTATAAAGTGGGCGTCAGTCAAGCATTCGAGTGTGTGAGTTTGACATTCTGCGAGGAGAGCAGAGATAACAAATGTCCCAGCTCCATTTCTTCTGTTTGCTTTCGCCGTGCCTGCGGTGGTGTCAGTAATGCATGCCGTCATTCACCCGGCGCTGCGCAGCGTGTCCGTCACAAAGACAGGCCGCAGTGTTTAGACGGAGCCCCGCTAGAAAGTGTTTTATAACGTCTGCTGTGATAGCTGTGGGGTCCGAGGCTGACTGTTCTTTCCCATCTGAAACAATGCAGTGGAAAGAGTGTGACGGAGCAGGAAAGTGAGCCAGCCAAGCCTTCAATAAACCTGGAGGAGATTAGAGCGGAGATCAAGGCAAAGCTTGAGGAGGAAGCGTACAATAGAGGGTAAGGCCTTCTCCCCAGCTCATCAATGTGCAAAGACATAATGACATTGTTATTTATTCATAAATCATCACGTTTGTGTTTATACAACAACAATAAACTCTGCATCAGTTAATGCTAAGACACCTAAACTGCACAAACTGTTTACAATTAACCCACAGACAGCTGTGCTTGTCAGGATCTCAGCACACTGAGTAATTTTTCACCGACCAAACATTTAAAAAAATATATGGAAGCTTTTGTTCTACCATTCACTAGAGATACTCTGCAGGAATGTTATCTAAGTGACTGAATGTGGAAATGTTGCAGCTACCAAGAAGGACTAAAGCAAAGCAAGGCCCTCGTGGAAGAGAGCTGTGAGGAGGAGAGCGTTGCAGAGAAACTGCTCCTGTCGAGAAATAAGGATGAGGAGAGTGGAAAGAGGCATGAGGGCAGCAGGTACACTCTGTTCCTTTACAATAAGACACACTATCATAGGACTTTGTATTTCTGTGGTTCAGCAAATCCAAAACAATTCTATGTAACTTTGATAGGTTTAAGTGTGATATCTCTAAATGGTTGTTTGGAATATTATTCAGTTTTTGATTTTGTGTGAGTTACAAAGGTGTTGGCAAAGGATTGCCTTTGAAACACACAAACAAGTCTAATTTGTTAGTGTCCAAGCAGACATAAGAAATTGATTGCAGACCATTTCAGTTTCAAAGGTTTTTAAAGGTTATTTGATTTGTTAGGATTTGTCCACATCCTCCTCATAAAAAATTGTTTCAAAGTGTGTGTAAGATTGCACCATCTGACTCCTTTTGGATGTGGATTTATCTCTGGCCGCAGGTCCTGTGGCATCTCTCTTCATTATCTTTTACTACTTACACATGAAAAACATCAGACAGACAGCTCTCATACAGACCACATATATTCCAATGAGCCTGTACTGAACAAGTTGTCTTCGTGACAGGAGGATCGAGGAGGTCCTGGCTCTTCTTGCTCGGTTCTCTCCAAAGATCTCCATCAGCCGGCGGCTCCTTTGGATGGCTCTGATGTTGTTTGTGGTGATGTGTTTGGTTCTCAGTATTTTCACGTTCTTCAGTGACTACTACAACCGGCGCGACGGCACGTAGGGAGTGACGCTGTACAAGTCACGGCAGAGATCTTTGGCCTAAGAACTCCACCACAGAGACCACAGTCAGCGCATCTCTGACATTTTTACCATATCACCACATCCAGGCTCACATGAACGGAATGACCCTGGGAGCTTGAGAGTCAAAGGAGTTTTGGGAGACTCTTCGGATGATTTTCCCTGTTTTTACCACTGACAGCATGAAGACATCATGTTTGTTAGAATGAATTGAGTTTTAGGACAATGTTTATAGGGACCAACTCCACAGTGTGATACAACATATATTTAATTGATTTAGATGCATATATAATGATACATTCTGGTTCTGGGGTACTGCCAATAGAAGAAAAAGTGTAAATTTATCTACACTCTAAAGTTACAGCTTCATTTCTCAGGTCCAACAGAGGATAAAGGCCACCTCATAAGGCCTTTATCCTCAGTTGTTTGACTTCATATTTAAAGACTGTCTTATTTGTTGTGTAATTAATTTTAAGGATATTTATAGATTCAATTATTAACACATTCCAAAGCAGTTCCTTAAGTGCAATAATTTGCAGTTGATGGTTTCCTTTCTTTCATTTTGGATTCAGAGCACTGACATTTTTTTTTGTCTTGTATGAGAGCACTTTTTAGATGGCATGAGGTTTATCTTTATCTTTCTGAGTGCCTGTGATTGTATTTTCATTCTTAATTGTTTTCTCTACCACTCTGCCTTTAAATAAAATGTGTCTGAAGACATTCAGTCATTTCACTAGTGACATTTGTAAGCTCATAACAAAGAATATCATATTGTTATTTTTTCCTCAGGGTTAAGTCAGACATTTAAATATCCGGAATATGGATGCACTGCAATTGAAATACAGAGCTGCACAATGAATGTAATCATTCATTATTTTGCAAGGCTTTGGTTTCATAATTTCGGAAGTGAAAACAGCATGTGTGCAGTCCCCACTAGTGTATTGAATTGCACAAAGTATTGACTGATGGAACTCTTATTAATATAGGAGCAACAGTAGGAAGTCTTCAACAGAAAAAGGAAAAATGATCCTTTGTTGTCAGAGAACTTTGAAATGTGTGTGCCAAGATTCACAGTGAGGTGGTCTGGAGGGCCCATGCACCTCTCAGGACATGTTGGATTCTTATGAGACATCAAGCCTGCAGAGAATTATGATTCTGCTGAGTAAGATTTATTGCTGTAGATTAACATTTTGTGAGCATATCTAGTATTTAGAATGAGCTTATCCTAACAAAATCTGCATTAGCAAAATGCAACAAACACATAAATGGAGTGCATAGTAGGAAAACAGGGGAAGGAAATCTCGGCTTCCCCGCTTAAGCTGCGGCCCCCGTGACCCGACCCGGGATAAGCGGAAGAAGATGAACGGATGGAGTAGGAAAACAGAACGGGAAACTTGTTATGCATGTTAAATTTTCATTTTTTTTGTTACTTTAAGTGAATTTTGATCACAATACTCATACGCTTTGTCCATCTTTGCTAATTGTTGTGAGTTGTCTTGCTTGTTTATATAGCTTAAAATATTAATTGGATGAAGTCCTGCCATCAGCAAAAGATTTTCAGATGTCAGTCGAAGAGACAGTTAAGATAATCACCCCAGGGAGATTAAGAAATACTTTAAAAGATCTCTTCCCCAACACTTTCAAATCATTTCACATTCTCCATAGAGTAATTTAAGTCCTTTAATATATAAAATGTAATTATGTGTTACTTTTGGTCATCATTTCTGATCCTCGCTCACCTTACCGACACCTCACATCAGCTGCCGAGTCATCGTCAACTCTCTTTGCGTCATTTCCGGCCATTCGGGTTTGTGAAAAGATGTTTTTGTGGAAGTGGAATGGTATCATGTGCCAAAGGCTCATCAGAGGATACCAGAGATAACATGCACATTAATGACTGACTAATACCTCATGGGAGGAAATCATGAGCACACCATGGCCGGTCAGAAGAGGGAAACTCACTTCGGTCCAACTCTGTTTCTGGCTGATTATGTCTGGAACATTTTGCCTTCCACTGATTTTCTTCAAAGCCTTGCCTTTGTTGACATTTTCTTGTATCTCGCTGTCTCCTGGGCCCCCCTCTCCTAGAACATATGATGGCTCTTGATCTGACCTGAGTACAGTACTTCCTCCTTCCTTTTCCTTTACACTCTGGCAATGACAGACACCACACACCCCTGTGGACAGAACCATCTCTATTTAACCGAGCCATTTTGCCAGCAGACACATGAACTCTGCATAGCTTTTACTCCCTGGCACTTGTCATCTCTGCTCCCAGCAGTCATGCTGATCATCTGGTTGTGCATCACATCTGTGCTGTCCACTTCTTTGGTCTCTTCTGATCAGAACACGAGCCACCTCAGAGGTAAGCCATTTTTATTGATTTTTTTTTGTAATGTATAACTCGTCTGGTCAAGAATAAAATTGGTTGTTTTATCCTGTTGTTCATTGAATAAACATCGGAAAATGTTTTGTGCTCTTTTCAGTGTTCCCGCCAGAAAACCAAACCATTGCTGGAGTAATCCAGGTTACTTACCTAAATGACCGTAACCAGCTACAATATGCCTTCAATGCCTCAAATGCACGGAAGCTATGCCACTCTCTCAGGCTGAGTATTGCTTCTCAAGCACAAGTAGAGGAAGCTCTGAAAAGAGGTTTTGAAACATGCAGGTAATACAGACGTGCTTCACAACATCTCCTATGTGGAATTGTTTTTTTAAAGAGGAAATGATAACATGGTTGCCTCTTTTAGATACGGGTGGATTGATGAACATTTTGCAGTCGTTCCCCGCATCCATGCACTTGCTAATTGTGGCCAAAACTACACTGGTTTGGTGAAATGGCGAGCTTCTGTAACACACAAGTTTGATGTGTTCTGCTTCAATGAATCAGGTAAGAAGTCTTTGATCTGCACGCTTCTCATGCTTCAAACCAGCAATGAAAAGTGATCACACTCATTTAAAGCCACCCTCAATTAGACTTTGACTCGGATTAGACCACTACTAAATTTACTGCTCTTTTTGCTCATTTTACGCAACTTTTTCTTGCATAAAATTTTTTTTAAATGTATTTTTGTAGAGAGAATCATTCAAATGGTTAGCCATTGGCATGACGTTTCAAAACAAAATTTGGGGGGGTTAAATGCCAGTATTTGGTGGCAAATGAAAGGTAACAGCAAAGTCCAAATGATGAGAAATGCCACACAAATGAACATTTCTTATTTGACGTGAACTTATTCAATCACTCACTGGCTTGATGTACACACACACACAGATGCGATGACACAGCTGAAAGATGCAGCGACCGATAGCCCTTTGAGCAGCGGGTATAACCCGGAGCACACGCAGGCTACTTCCGAAGCAACACAGTCCACCCTGGCACAATCTACATCTGGTTCCTCTCCTGCTCCTACAACCATGAACAATGAGGTCGAACCAGCCCGCTTCGTCAGCAGTGCACATACCTCTGCACGAGGTATGACATTATCTCATCGTATGGGAAGTCTCTTTACAGGATACTTCTTTTGTACATCTACCGTAAAATGCCTTCTTTATTTACTTCCAGCTAAGGTGGTGCTCATTGCCTGCACCTGTGGCCTCCTTATAGTTTCAGTAGTAAGCCTGGCATATCTAAAACTGTGAGTATCATACTAAATACTCAAAACAACAAAGTTATTCCTTGTAGGTTACTTACTATGTTATAGATTTAGTATCTGAGTCAGCTGGGTGTGAAATACAGATGATAAACAGATGTAGGAAGATAATTAAAGCATTGTTAATTGCAGGTCTGATTTGACCTTTAATTGCTTTTCAAAAGTAGTACAAATTTCTAGACTCAGAAACCTGCAGAAATCTTTTAGAAATCTTGAATGGTCAAACTGAAAGCAAGTGCATTTTGTAGTTGGATTTTGCAGTTTCAAGAAACATATAAAGTTTAATTCAGTTTTGTTCTCACTAACTTCAAGCCAGTCGTAGCATATCAGTAACAAGTTCAAATAGCTTACGTAAATTGTCCAAGAAAGATCTTATTTAAGAAAATAAAAACAGGCATACACTCCCTTTATTGTTCATCTTCCTGTTCATATCAGTCTTGTGATTTTCCTTTTCTCTGTGTGAAAAGGAGGAGGCGTTGCTCTCAAAGCTCAGACATGAAGCAGCACCAGCAGCACATCGAGACAGAGGAATTAAATTGTGTGAAGTACGCCACAGAAATCCAGGAGGTTGTATCAGAGGGTGAGAAGATAGAAGTGGACGACGATGCACATTGAACTTTTTTCTATGAAAAAACTTCAAAGAACTATTTAATGTTTTTATGAACCTTGATAATATTGTATCTAAACGACAACGAAGCAAATTTGAGTCATTTATTGTTGTGCTGTTTAACCAGTAGAGGGCAATGCTTACAAGGCTCTGTATTCTTTTGGTGTTTTAAACAATGAACATGCATGTAAAAAAAAAAGGTTTTCTTTAGCAATTGAAAACACTTTTTTAACAGTCAGGGAAAATTCACACCCGTAAACAAATCAGTATCTCCTTAAATATTCTCAGAACCTGAACTGAACAAGGTGTTGAAAGAATAAATATTCATGCTCTCCTACCTGGCTGTAAAGCATTCATGTATTATTGTCTGATATAAGGTGTATACAGTAAATGTTTTTAGCTGTCTCCATCTCAAAATGCAGAGTAAGGTACAAGTGCATGGAAATGCAGGATACTTTAATGACAGTGATAAGTGTGGGTTTGCTTCTAACATCTCTACACTACCAGAGATTTAGTCTAAAACTCAGAAAAGGATCACATGCCGGCAGTGATTTAAGGCATGCAGATTCATTTCACCACATGTTTATACTGAACTGTTCTTTAGGCAATATGTTGTGTTTTTAAAGAGAACCATTGAAGCCACCAGGGGGCAGATTTGAAAATAAAACTGGCTGATGTTACCTGAGTGCACTGCATGCTATGGCTCTGTTTACCGTTAGAGCTCTTTTATTCCTGGTGCAGATCCATAGTTTCCGACTTTGCTACGTCAACAATGAAACTGAGCTCGTTACACAGAGTTTCGTGTCTGTAGGCCATGCGGATCTGTGCGACATTGGTCCGATGGATGTCGTTCCCTTCATGTCCATCTCTCAGATAGTTCACTCCTAAAAAGTGCTTCTTTTCCTTCAGATAAAAGAAATCTAATCAACTGCAGTGAAACAAATAACTTCCACTCAAAGAAGATATGACCATTCCTGGAATATAACAGGAGGCTGTCAATGTTACCTGGTGAGATAATCCACTTTGTAGCACACTGTTCCTGGCAATCTCACACACATCACAAGTGCTAAACTTCCACAGCTGAGCTGCAATTGCGTACTCCTCCATTAGCGGTTCCTCAAATGAGAGCACATAAAAAGTTGATAAGAAGTGTGTGTGTGTGGGAGGACTAAATCCATCTCATCCTTACTGCAGTAGTAAGTTGTACAAAGGATTTGCCGTGTGCACCGTGTGTCTTTACCTTGGTGTAGTGGAACTGCATGGGATCATCTGTGGACAGAGATACACACAGGCCTTTGTGTAGGAATTCTCTGAGTGGATTCTTGGAGTACTCCAGGAAGAGGCTGTTGTTGCTAAGAGGAGACATGGCAATGGGCAGCTGGGTCAAGTAGTACAGGTACTGAAGCACAGGGCTCTGCGGAGAGAATGGGAAACCATTCAATTAATCTGGTCATCCAAAACATTAAGTACAAACTGCAGGTCTTTGTCATAACTAAAGGGTAAGCTCACTCTGATCCTGACACAAAGTGAACGGACACCAGCTCAGATATGTCTTCCCTGCACTCAGACGGATTGTAAGGAGTATCTGAATTCAACATATTTCACCTGGGGACATTGAAATAGGTCACAAAAGATCCCGGCAACACTTTAAAAGTACCTTCTTCAAGTTGAGTCCATGGGAGATGTTGTCAGCAGTGAGAAAAGCAGAGACTAAATGAGTGATTGACCCCGCCTCTCCGCAGTGGGGACGAAACTGGAAGGTGCTCAGTCCACGTTCTCTATGGAGGACAAAAGCGATGTGAAAAATGAATTAGATTCAAATGAATGTGTGTTTACGAAGCGGATGAAGGCATTTGGACTTACTTTCTGAGGTTGTTGAGGACCATGATGTTCGCATACATGTGGAAAATGTAGTAGCTGTAGGGAGGGTTGTCATCAGTGGACCACTGTTCTGGTTTTGGGCTCCTGAAGGAGAACATGTGGTCGCTGTGTTTGGACTCATCATCTACACTGTCAAAGCCTGACACCTACATAAACAAAACATAAAAAATGTTACCCCCTCAGCCTCCTTTGTTACTTTACCAATAAAAAAATTATTGAAAATTAATCTTTGACTATTTTTTTAACAATTTAATGTTGAATAGCACTTTGAACATATGAATCGTCGATTCAGAAAACTTCATGTTTTTGTAAGGAGTCAGTTAGAATCTACAGAAACCCCAAAAAGTATAACAACAGAGTATAGCAGAGTTCCAAAAAGCAAGCAAAAGCATCTTAAGTAACACAATTGTTAATTAAGATGCCCCCCTCCATGTTACATGTGCAACTTTTTATTTCATTCACCCTACAAGATCCACCATCTTACGTATTTGAGGAAAACATGAAGTTCTCTGTGCTTCCGGGGGTTCACGGTGGCCTCAAACAGCGGAAGGAATATGTTCTCCAACATCTTGGCAAAATTATGCACCAGCTTCTTTGATTTGAAGATATCACTGAAAGACAAAAGAAAAACAAATTTACATTATACTTCCTGAGAGTAGCTATTATCAAAAGCTAGTTTTGCTAGGCTGTGGTACTCACTATATTCTGGGCACCTGAATGACCCATCTCATGTTCGGTGAGAACACTTTGTGATCAATAAACCACTTTGCAAGACTGTCCCACTCATCAGGTGAGCGTCCATAGATGGAGAGGCGTGGCTCAGCATGTTGATACTTACTTTCCTCCAGATCACGAGCCACCTCCTGTGAAACGAGAAGGAGAGTGCGCTAAACTGCTTCCATGAAAGAACTGACCTATGGTGCACGACAGCCGGACATGTTACCTTTATGATCCGAGCAAAATACTCCCCATTGATGTAGTTGTCTGTTTTCAGGAAGATTTCTCTAAGCTCGCTGGCGCCCACAGGGTTGTACTTTGAATTGAACTTGTCAAACCGGTGAAAGGTTTGTCTCCCCTGTAAATTTCACAAGTTGCAAACTGTAACTGGGAGCCCACAACAATCCCTATATAACACTACCAGCTCCTGCAGTCAAATAGGCTTTAAAGAACAAGAAGCAGCTGCATAGGGGCCATTACCAACAGCATAAAGATGCTTTAACTCAGCCTGATTAACTCTACCTGACTACATTTTGAAGGGAATATAAAATAATGTTTTTAAACACCATTTAAGAAGAACATGTTATTTTTACAAAACAAGCTGGCATCATCTCCTCCCTTACAGCATGTACATCCAGAGAGTCCACAGTGAGGTCATATGGGTCCATGTTGAGGTTGTGAAAAACCTGCTGGAGGGTCATCTTTTGTCCATCCTTTTCTAAAACTATTCGATCCGCTTCGGTTTTGTATGTTTTTTGGATGAAGGTCAGCAGGTGCTTCTGAGACATGCATGCAGCTGCATGTATATGTGTGTCAACCTGAAAGAAACAAACTCATAGTTTAACCTGGGTTAAAACATGGCGGTCCCCCTTATTCGAACTGACAGAACAAAGATAAGCAGGACTTTTTCGCACACTTTGTTTTCACAACAGAGGTTCAAGCACTGGTGTAAAGTTGTGTTTGTATATGAAAACCAACAGTCTTTAGCTTGCTTAACATACTGCATCAATAAAGGTGCCTATCTGCTGCAACAATTAATAGAATGGATGCAACACCGCTGTGTTTCACTGTTCTTCCATCATATTTAAAGTTACTGTTGACATCAGTGTCACTGACTATACGATAGAGTGTGTATTATGTCTGCCCAGGGTTGATGAAACAGAACAACTGGGATACATCCCCTGGACATAAAAAAATCAGTAACAGGTTGAGTGCCTTGGTTCTTTTCATCAATATATCTGACATTTCCCATCCAATTTTAGCCTCCACCACAAGGACAATGAGCCCCACAAAAACTATTTGCGGGACTATTTTGAGGAACACAGGCTACAAATTACCAGATCCCTGTCCAATCTAGAAAAGAGAGCAAGCCCTATATACCAACACTGTTCCAAGAGCACATAAAGCCTACACTTTATGCATTTTCTTTTTTGTAGTTTTATGTCTGATCTGTGCACAGCACCTGCAGATAGAACACTAACCTTCCTAACATTGTAGAAATCTCTGTGAGGCACGCATTTCAGTTCCTTCAGCTCAGCCATCTCATTAAGCATTTCATGAAGGTGGAACTTTGAACTCAAGAAGTTCAGTCTTCTGTGACAGTAGGTCTTCCTGAAAAAATGTGTTTAGATGCTGCATAACTCTGACATGTAAAGTTAGACACTCTAAACTGTAAGTGATAACAACTGTTTTCCACCAGCATAACTGCCCGTCGTCCTTGTTTTGACAACTTACGTGGGTCCATCTGCAATCATTGTCAGCACGTGACCAAGATCTATTGCAAAGGTCTCCAAGTCAGGGTATGGTAGGTCATGGGGTTGTTTTTTACTGAGCGCCTCAGCATCGTCATATACATGTACAATTCCATCTTTCATCTGAAGTTCATAGTTCAGATCTTCAGGGATGTCGTCCATGCTGTGGGGATCTTCATCATCTACCGGACACGGGCACATATCTGGAGGCAAGAAAATAGTTTCCTTAACGTCTTAAAAAGCAGAACACCAGGTTCTTTTACATAAAGCAAATACACATGTGGTTGATACCTGGCAGTATCTCATCTTGTTCACTCCATCTCATGTTCTGAGCGCTGCAGAGGAACTGGCTTGTGGTTCTAGAGAATCTGTGATAGGCTAGCTTTGAGTATTTCTCTCGAAGAAGCAGAGCCTTGAATAGGCTTTTGGCTGCCTGCTCATAGTCCTCCACTGTGACCTGAATGAGAAAATGACATCGCGGATAAACTCAAAGTCATTGAATAAACCTTTTTTTTTTCTTAACTTTTGGGCACACCAGATCATGGTACTTACTCCAGCACAGTAATCGCCACTTATAGTGACCCTCTGGAAATCAGGGCAGATTTCTATCATTGATGAGCTGGTGGAGCTGGGGGACAAAAATGGTGTAACTGTCCCTGACCATGCACCATCTGTACTGACTGGGATCTGCAGGGACAGTGACTGGGAACGGATCATCTTCAAACTTTTCCTCCTGAAAAAGTGGCAGTGGGTTGGTGTAATATATATCAACCTTGATGTTACTTCCCCTGAAATTTTTTAATACGACCTTATTCATATATTGTTTTTAGCTGATAGGATCTGACCAATCAGTGACCTGGTTTTCAGTAACGCAGGACCTACCTCTTGGTGCTCTCCTCCGACTGTTGTTCTGCCAACTCCTTAAGCAGTTCATGATCTTGTGCCTGCTTGAGGCCAATTGGACAGTCCTCAGGGACTGTGAACATTGAAAATGCATCTTTGTGGTCTTCCTCTTTCAATGCTGAAGCGTACACCTTCTCTGCAAGCAGCTGCGTCTTCTCCTCCACCTCACTCAGAGTTACCTTTGGGAATTGACGAGGCATGTCTGCAAGAAGGCAGAAGCTGTGGTGAAATACTGGGCTACAATGAAAAGAGGAAACCTGTTTTCTCAGTGGTGCTTTTTTCTGAGCAGTTTGGGCTGTTGTGTAAACACGAGGATCAAACTGTCTACGGGTATGCATGCATGGCATTTAAATGCAGCAGCACCACCTACAGAGCTCCATGTGAACTGTCTTTTTTGTTCAAATAACCTCAAATAACCAGCACACAAGACAATGACAATTTGGGGAAATGTAGATATCTGTCGTAATCTGTCAGTTGATTTTGTTTAATTAAGTATCTTTAAACATGGGCTATCTACACACATTCTTGGTTGTCATCCTGAAAAAAAGTGTCCCTGTGGTTTTGTCTATGTCAAGCAGAACCATCTATTTTAATACATGCTCTAACAATAAAGTCCTTATCATCTGCTGTAATGGATATGGGAATGGAAACACAATCACAGCCTGGGGAATATCGAAGGGAACACCATTACACTTATGCTGGAAGCATTTTGAACAGAGCCCTGATCCAAAAACATGTGCAAGCACATTAACTTAGATTAAATTCAATAGTTTAACAAACCGCCCAAACTCTGGCTGGAACAAACGTCCTCTTGATCTAGTCACGGCATGACAAACTCTAGTAAAATTGTCTCTTTCCTCACATAATGGCAGAAAATAAGGTTTTTTATTTCCGATTAACTCTTAAAGTAAAAGCATATAAATAGGTACGTGAAATTATTTTTTAAATGAATCTATTTGCAGTCATTCGTCTGGGTCACGTCCACATGTAACACTCACATATGGACAATCTAGATGAACAAACAGTACCCTCTCAGTGTTCATGGTGATAAAACATAGTTCCAGTTACAACAACAGAGAGGGACCATGCTGCATGGCGTTATCTAAGCTAGGGGAGCGTCCAGGAAGCTTATCTCCAAACAGACAACACTATCCTGACAACAGCTGTATATATCACTGCAGCTGCAGAACTTTAAGGCACCATTCATCATGTGTTAGATAGAGACTGTGGGCTGGTCATGCAGTTGTGATCTAAAGCTCATAGTTTTGTGAATTAATAACCAACATCTCACAAATTTCACTAAACAGAACTCATTGCCTGGTTCAAAGAATCAAACTTATTGCATTTTACAATAAAAAAAATGTTATGCAAACAATACAGAGGAAAATGAGAAATATTTTGGTTTGTTGTTATGAGATCATGCTTATCAGTAAACGGCAGCAGCAAGCTTTATTTGCATATATCTAACCTTTTTAATTCAATATGAAGCGTTCTTAACGTTCTTAATATAATTTCAAGACAGAGTTGTTTAACAAATTAGTCGGACAGCGTTTTTAAAGAGAAGGTACATTTACGTTACATGTAGGAAGATAGAAATTTGACCTAAGCATGTGCTCACAGTTAATTAAAAAATAAAGCTTAGTGGGGAACGACAATATATAAAAAACATGCTGCTGACCTAAAATAGTGCTCCCTTGGAAGACCTTTTCTTCATCTTGTCTTGGTGACTGGCATTGTCATTTTTTCGTATCAAATAATAACACTTGAACTTTTTAAATATCCCTGTCTACACTCGGGTAATAGTTCCATCATACCTTTACCACTGAAACCATGACAACTCAGGGAAAATGGTCCCACAACGGTTCAAACGATTGGCGAAAAAACTGTTCGTGGAGAAAGTGTAAACACAGGAAATTACGTCATTTAATTTAAGTGCAGTTCAAATGTCATAGACCTGACTTATGTGATATATTTGTAGATGTTAGAATCTTTTTTTTTTTTTTCAGTACAGTGCTTAATTTTCAGCCCGAGTCAGTTTGTGTGTTGCACCGCGCTTCACCATGGCAACTCCACCTGCTGGTGATCACAGCCAAAGGGTATCTGATCCTCAACAGCCTGCCTCTCTTAGCTCTATGTATTTTATTTATTCTTATTTCTTACCAGCTTTTAACAGTTTCTTCAGAAACTCCACAGTCCAGTTTACTATAATAATTGACTTAGACACTGGAGTAATGTTTCCTGTGCTCATTAAACCAGCGTCATTATGTTGAGAGATGCACTCAAATAGAATTAGTTAGACAATGTTTTAACCGGACCCAACTGTTAGCCTTGTTCCTACCTTCTGTGATGGTCATGGCCATTTCTGGTGGGGTTGTCCTTTCAAGGTGGAGAAGCGACGCATAGACCAGCAGTCCCTTAAGAAGCTCTGTGAGTCTAAAGTGTTACACCAGGAGGACTTTATTTTAGTGGCCTCTGATTTCTCTATTTTAAGGATACAGTGTCATCATGTTGACAAAGAAGGGTCTTAATCAGAGTAGAGTGAGGAGGCCAGTGCCCTGTTTTCTTTCTTGGTGTCTGTATCCTTCGGTATTTGAGACACAAACACTCGGTGCTCGATCAAAAACAACACAATACGTTCAAGTAGAGAGGATGAGAAAAGAAGAGTCCCTGCTCTACCTCCGTAGCAAATAAGCAAATACGCACGAGGTGATGGCTAAGATAACTGACCCCTCCTCATTTTTTATCTGTTTATGACTCTAAAGATACCCTTTGTCACTGCACTGCAGCCATGGAACCAAGTGGCCGATCAATAGTGATTCACCTTAAGATTAATATAATGTTCATTCTCTTCACACTCTGGGGGTGTTTACCTCGTGATTAGTTTCAGTAAAGTTTTTGGTTTGTCTTGCTTTCTTAATAGAGCATGGTTTTTGACCATCAGTGACAAGTTCATACAACTTTGCTCAAAGGCCCTGAGCAAGCCCTTGTTTGTGCATTGAAGTATTGTGCCATCATCCCGGCAGGTTGAAATACCTAAGGCAGCCAGCATTCAAACAAGATATTTAGAGATAGCCTCTGTTAATACATATGGGTAAATGGTTCTGTGCCGATTCTCTCAAATCAATCCCTGACAGAAAAATGGGATTTTCAGTGGAAGTATATCCTGATCCTGTCTTATGAAAACCCAGTAGAAATCTGGTTTTATACTGCATTACAAGACCTTTTTAAATTGTTTGATTTAGCATACATCATATCCCTGATAGCTGTGAAAGTGCAAGGGTGTCAGTCTGCACAAACCATTGATGGGTACTAATGTAAGGGGCATTTTAGTGGTGCTCAGTCTGTATTGTCTGTGCTAGTGTGGGTTTGAGAGTCCACTCGAGGGCACTGTAATGTGGAAATTTGGAATCAAGCATATATTATATCCATGGCTACTGTGGAGAGGAAGGATCATTATTCATTATGTCATACTTTCAGTATAACCCCATTAGAGACAGTAAAAAGCCATTAGTGGACCACTCACAGCCTATCTCAGACCCACCATCTATATCTTGTCCCGTTTGACATTTCTCAGACACCTCATGGCTCTTAATGGCTGAGGACCCTCTGAGGACCCTATATGGCTCTTTGTCAGAGTCATATCAGGCAGAAAGGGTCATCAACACCAGACAAAGCCATTTGCTGCATTACTGAGATAGTTATGAGAGAGGGAGAGGAAGAAGCTCACTCTTTCCCAAGGATGGGCTTGAGTGCTGCTTTAAAAGAGGCGTGTCTCCTCTTCTCATCTTCCTCAGTGGTCAGTTCCTGTAGAGGAGTGAGCAGAAAAAACAAAGGAAGTGCACTGTCCCTATGTTTATCTTGTTTACATTTTCAGCAAGTTTTGTGTGTACATTTGTGCATGTGAGTACATTTTTGGTGCACCCACCAGGAGCTCTCACTATGGTTATTCCTAAACAGTTACATGCTCATACCCCATGCTGGGCTCTAAAACTCTACATAGCTTATATAACAAGAACATTGAGGAAGGCATTGTTGATCTGGTCCCACACTAATCACAATGTCAAATATGTCCACTCACCTTCTTTTGCTCTGCTGTATCTGGAGTGCATAAAAACTCTGTTCTCTCAGAGAAACATCTAAGACACGCTGGGTTTCTGTTGTGAGCAGGGTGTTTGATGTCTCCTCCACCACCCTGGAGCACAAACAAGTCCATCCTTAACTCTTTCATGGCCACAGCTCAGTAGAAGAAAAGCATCCAGGTTTGAAGGCTCAAATGTGCATTTATGGTCATGTCACTTCCCTTTTTTTCAATTTCATTCTAGTAGTTGCAGTTTGCTTGTTTCGTTCAAATAGTTCAAATATTGAGTAGTAAAGAATGTAGTTTGTACAATACTAATACTTAACCTTTTTCTCTTATTCTCAGAAGTATTTTACTTTGAAAACAATCTTAAAAGAGAACTGTTGACTGGATTCAAAGCTTTCTTATCTGCATTCATTTTTATTTGGAATTTATGCAGCTCTCTGACCCAGATGCTAGCTGTTTAAATGCTCTTCCTCGGGTTAATCTCAGGAGTCGACTTCATGGCAAGAGGTAATGTCTCTGATATTGCAATCGTGTTGTTTACTTTGCAAAGATACGCACACACATTGTAGAACTGTGGTCCAGTTAGAATCAGTGTCTGGATTGTGTCTCCCGGGCAGATCAAAGCTACCTGTTCAGAGCAGCATAATCAGTCTCACAGCAGAGCACGAGCACTGCACACTCTCTCACATCTCGTCTGAAGGGGACTCAAATCTGCTGGTGTGGCCTTAAGCAGCAGGGGGGTACACCGTCCCGGACTTAACCTCACAGTGGTTGAGATTATAAAACTAATCCTTTCAACGCAGGTCATCACAGTACTTTTAGAATTGGCTTTGGTCCACTGCTAGTCCTGTGTGCGTATAAGTTTGATTAAAAAAAGTAATCTTCTATGTCTGCTCTCCCTTGTTTTGTCTTTTCCCACCCCCCCTCCTCTTTATTTATTCTCAGCAGTAATTTGATTGTGTGTAAATGAGCTCTGGCATAAACATTAGAAACAGGTGAGTAATTCACTTATATCTGAGTTCACCTAATGTCATAATAGAGCCTCCAGACAGCCCTTTTTTTCATGGCGGCTAATCAGATTTCAGTGGTTACTGTATATTTTTGTCAGTATCCCGTTGAACAGAGCAGATCAGATCTGGAGATAATGCCAGTTTAAGCACTCTGAACACAGAAATCCGAAGAAATAAAAGATCTGGTGCTTGGCATACAGGATGTACTCAGAATGCAATATTATTACTTACCTGCTGACCTACAGTGACCAGTTTGTTGATGCTATCACCATGTCCATGGCGTCACCTGCTGATTGGCTTAGTGGAGAGGTGACGCCCTCACTTAGCACAGAGAGTACAGTGTGTATCCATTCACACTCTTAGGCTGTTATGAAAACACATTTTGCCTTAATCATAATGCTCATGTTCAGAGAATAAACGTTAAACCTCAGATATATGTTCTACATTAAGCCACTAGATGGCATATTTGCTTTGGTTGCTTCCTTTGCTTCAGTTTTAAGTGCCTCCCGCCTCGCAGTTATTTGTCCAACAGGTTTTGTCATCAGTGACTGTATATTGCCCTGATTAAATGTGCTCCTCAGCCACGTTTAGGTGAAAGCTAGAAGATACAAAGTAAGACTGAACCCTCTGACATCCATGAGGTTGATTAAGCATGATGCAAAAACCGCACAATACAAAAGTGAAGGGATTTGTGCCTTTTCAGTATTCACATGAAAATGAATCACTGTTCAGGACACACTGGAGAAAGTGTGACAGGTCATTTCTAAAGGCAGGTCTCTGCAGGCTGATATTCAGTGACTAGTTCTCAGAGGATGATAGTTAAGGAACATGAATCTCACGTCCCCTTTCCTGCACTTAAGGTTGAGCCGATGGAACTGGCTGCGTAAATCACACCGAGAGGGAAAAGACACATTTTTGCTGTTTTTCCAATCCAATATCCCTAGATGGCAGTAGAGATGGCGCAATTACAGCTTTGGCGCTGAAATGTGTTTCTGTATATCCTATTCACATCATCCAGCACCATTTGAACCACTGTTATTGGCATTCCGGGGGAAGTATCACTGCACATGTACGAGATGGAGCCGATCGTCTTGCAACAGATGCTTTTTGAGTTAACTTACAAAAATATTGAGATGTGCATTGTAGCCTCCGACTGTGAAGGGCCCGGTCACTGCATTGTTGGAGCAGTCCTCTGTGATGCTCTAAGTGGAATGTCAGGCCGGAACCCCCCCGCGCAGCAGCCTTCTTGTGTCCCAACCATGTACCATTGAATACAGATGGAGCTAAATCCTCAGCCTCCTCTGATGGCTTTAGGGCCGTTTTGTGGTGTGGGGTGAGCCAACAAATATGAGCTGAACCTATCAGGAATGTGCCTGGCACCCTGTTTGCCATTTCTTCCCCCATTTGTGTGTGTTGGGGGTGGTGGAAGGGGTGTCCATAACTACGGGAATGTAGGGAGAGGAGTGGAGGCTCTAATAAGAACCTGTAATCACTTAACAGAGACCAGGTGCTTAGTGTTTTGCCCCAGCCATCCGCTTTCAGCCTGGACCAAAGGAAGCGAGAACACATAGAGTTTGTATGCAAAGTGTTTATTGAATGACAATGTTATTGCTTTGACACAAATAAAATAGAACACATTTACAAATATATAATAATATACCTATAAAACACAAATCCAATTACCACAGTTTGCAAAGGAATAATGACCAACAGCTACAATGCCCATATATATATTTCTTCCTGTACAAAAATAGCTCTATCTGCATAAGTACTTTAATGTAACTTCTATATAATATTTTAAATAAAGGAATTCATATATACACATACCTGCGATTAAAAAAATAGATTGCACATGGTTTTATACATACATTAACATTTTCAAGTATATTTCAATCCATCGTGGACTGGCACATATCTCAAATAATCTAAGGCATTTCCCTTATACAGTGTCCACAACTTGATATAAACTGAGAGCATTATGTGATGCAATGCGATGCCTTTTTTTTTTTTTTTTTCCTGATCATTCATTTTACTCTAAGTCCAAAACGAAAAGTGCAGACAATTACTGACAGTTTGATGGAACATGGTGGTTTAATCCTTAGAAGATAGCACTTATCAAAGTCCTGGCCTTGAGGAAAAAAGCGTGCGAAGTCCCAGAATTTTTGGGCGAGAGTGCCCTCTTAAAACCAGAGGAAGTGTTCACTTTGCCAGGTGTTAGCACTCTTCTTTTACCTCTGCCGAGCTTAGAGCAGCACCTGTAGTTTGCTCCACACTGTGCCATCCAGTGTCTTTAAGCCAGCTGCAGTTGCTTGCACGCTGTTTATCGCTGGGCAGCAAGGCCCCTTTGGAGAAACTTGGCTGCAGCCAGCCCTGCTCTGACTCAGTCCCCATGCCTGGAACAAATGTGCTGGAGTATATTTGGCAACGGTTTGAGGCATTTTGAGAATTTTCAGAAAAGAGCAAAGAGGACACTGGCTCAAAAGACGCACTTTGTTCCCAGCTGCTCTCTCAAAGTCCAGCTCATGTCCTTCTGAGGAGAGCCACAAGCTTGTGAACCTGGGAGTTATTTGTGCTCCATACGGGCCTCAGCCTGCCCTGCTCCACCCTCAGTGCAATTCTGCGTTGTGGAAGAGATCGCCGCCTCCGGCCGTACCCCCTGGGACTGATCTTGTGAGCAGGAGCGGTGGGGATGGTTGACTTGTTATTGAGCTGGTGCAGGCGGTGTACCAGGTCATGGACCGAGCAGGTGCCCAGGGCGCAACCTTTCCATTTTGACTGGTTGGCTGAGTTTTTGGACCTCTTGGTTCGGATGTTGATGTCAGTGCTGGAAGACAAAAAAAGGAGAGGACATTAATCCATGCTGCTCGTGCTGGCAGAGCCTGCAGCTGTAGCCTACCATACTCAAAATATATCAGGACAACGTTTCAGACTTGCGTGGATGATGTCTTACCTGGAATGTGGCAGCAAATTATCCCTGATGTCCTCTGTTCTGACGAAGGGCTCAGACTCGGCTGTCTTCTGTATCGTCGTGCTGTAAATATCCCGTCTCATTCTGCTTCCCAGCCATATACTTAGTCTATGAAAAGAAGGCAAAAACAATTTAGGAATCTTAGGATTAGAAACGGGTACTGTGTAGCAGACTGCTGCTCGCAGAGTCAGATTAAAACATTACATGGATGAAATGGATCACTGCTCAGACAACTCACCTTTTTTTCAACTCGGGATTCACCTTAGGTTCCATACAGTGTGCTACTGTTGCCAGTAGACAGCAATAGAGGAAGGAGTGGAAGATCGTTTTCATTTTGGCTCCTGTTGGAAGAAAAGAAAACAATAGCCAGTTAGTCATTTGTGGTGGGAAAAAAAATTAATATTTAGCCATGCGGCATGCTGCACTCTCCCTCTGTCCGTTTAGAACTATTTCATACTGTACTCCCCTGAGTGCCACAATTTTGCTTTCTTACACAAGAGTCCAAAAGCCAAGTTATTTGCACACATCATTCATTTATTTAAAATGTTAAGCTAAGGTCAGATTTGGCTGGGTTAAGTAAATCTGCAACCACTCTTTGGGCCCCTGGCAACTAATCTGAAGGACACGGTCGACCAAATAAGGGACCCAAAATAGGCGAAGTGCACAAATCAAGCAAAACCTGTAATTCCTGGAACTCTCACATGCAACAAATAAACAATGCGTGGGGCACCGCTCCTCTTGAATCATTTACCATTTGGATCCCCTTCCCTCATAGAAGCACGCACAGTAAGAGAGCTGAACTGCTTATATAACCAGACAGATAACCTGTTCTCGTCTCTACACTTGTGCCTTGACCTCAAAAAACCAAGGATAAAGCCATCAGCTGGGAGCCCGGCAAAGCCTCCCTGAGAGATAATTGTACATACCTGATGTTCTTTGACAGTTCAGTTGAATAGGAAAGTCCTTCTGGTAAGTCAGCCTCGAAAGAGTATTCCACAGGTTTCTTGATATTACCACTGGTTCTGCAAGGCAGCTGTGTCACTCTGCTAATAGCTCCTACACACCAGACAGGGAGCATTTATATAGGTGGTGGGAGGGGCTCATTGAATGACACACAGTCTCTCATCCTTTTTCCCCCACCCCATTCAGGACATTACTGCTGAGCTGTTTTTCATGTCTTGCTAAAGTGACGATTAAAAAAAAAGTATGTTAAACAAAACTTTAAAGAAAATTAGATTTTAGAGTCGGGGGGAAGTCAGAACACACCTCATCATGAGCATTTGGCAGTCTTCAAAAATGTTTTCTTTCTCTCTGTGTTTCTTTTGTGACATCTAAAGGAGAAGTCATCAGTCGTCCCAGTAAGAACACAAGGTGTTTAACTCAGCTGACTGCTTTCTCTGAGGGCTGTCAGAAATCTAAACAACCATAGATGAAAAGGTTGCAACATTCGTCTTGTTATATTTGAATTCTTGCGTCATCTAGGTGCAGTTTCTATTTGTGCTTCATTCAGTCCGTTTGCCTAATTGCAAATAATAGGATTTAAGGAATGCATCCACAGGCTGCCTTTCGGGGCACTCCCCGACACATTGAAGTTCCCTGTCAGTGATGAATCTGAGAAGTATTGAGCAACTAGTTAAATATAGTAAGTATTTCTAAATTCAAACACAATAACATTAATGTATTAGTTTGTTCAAGGCAAATATTAACTTTGGACTTGTGTTAGGATTTATTTCCACAGTTGGATAAATGTGAAATGGAATTTTACAATTATTAATCAAGTCTGAAGTGAATTTGAACAACAGCCAGTGAGGCATGGACAATATTATCTGAGACATTTTTCGAATAATTTAGCTCATATGCTGCTCTTCTGTATAGTCTGAAGTCACTTTTTTCTTAGGATTGTGCACATAAAAAATCTGTCAAGTGATATCTAGGGGTGTGTTCTTAAATGTCTGAGTAGATGGAGCAGAACTTCTTTTCTTGGTGATGTTTGACAATGTTTCACCTCTTATCCATGGAAGCCTTTTGAATGCGGGAACATTTAGAGCCTGTATGTGCCTGCTAGTGGCATCTTTTACACAATTATCACAAAGGGTCGTGACTGGAAACAACATAAAAAGCGACAGAAAACCTCACACCTTAAGTTGGACACCAGAGGTGATTAGTATGAGAAGTGCCCCAGCTTTAATCAGAGTCCACATATCATTGACACATAGCCGCTGATGCTTTATCACAGGTTGATATTTAAATCATATCTGCTGGAAATACCAGAGAAATAACACCTGGTTTTAACAGCAAAGAAATTCCATTTAGAGTGTTAGAATAGAATTTCCCCGTGGCATTGAGAAAGAAACACTTTCAGTTTTGATTATTCTTTTCTTTTTTTGTTTCGGTTTCATTGAAGTGGGAGAAAAGCTACGTAAAAAAAAGGGTTTACTTAACATTGACATTCCACTGTAACAAATCAGGATTCCATAATCCTTATCTCAATATTGTGACAAAACCCTCCTAATTTAGAGTTTATTTATATCTCATGTGACCCATTCCAAGGGTAGTGTCATATCTTAAACTCAAAAATATATAAATGGCAACCACATGTGCTGTAAACTAGAAAATATTCTGTAAGCACTTTGTAATGATAATTGACTCCATCCGACAAGTAATCCCCTCTACACAGTTTAAAACAAGAGATGTTGCAATGATGACAACACAATCCGGGTGGTGTCTCTCGGCTCCTTATATAGCAATCTTTAGTTTGCTCTGTGTGGAGCTGTTGTCCAAGGTGACTGACACTTATTTGACTAAGTCCCAATTTGTGTATGAAGAAGTTCGAGAGGAAGTGTCCCATGTGTCGGGAAAAAAGAGGCTGATTCATGATGACTGTAATGTTTGTTGCTCGGGGGTCCTATCACATTCCCATCATTCCAAAGTGGAGACAAAACAAAACGGGCAAACAATGCTGTCCGTATTTCTTCAGATTTTGCCATGGTTTCAACTCTTTGACCGCTTTTGTGTGGATTTTCTCTAACCAGCAAACAAAAGCAGCATGCAGCGAACTGGAGAGACGTTAAGAAGACGGACGAAGAGTGAGAGAAAGTCCAAGGGAAATGGCATGCTGTGTTCCTGCCATTGTTGAAAGCAACGGTGGTTTGTGCATTAGCATCACATGCTGTCAAGAACCTCCACGTGCTATGTCTTGTGACAACCTTTCCTGTTATTTGTAAATATACAGTATTTTGCACAAGCCAAATTGGGACTGTCACGTCCCGAACACAGTCAATATCAAATCCCAATCATTTGTACACCGACAGAAAAAAAAGGCATTTGCCCTGGTGACTGATATGACTAGTTGCTGACTCCATTGACTAAGTGGAAGATTTTTATGTGGCACATGGTTCAAGGAAAATTTCCACCTGCTGTGACGCAGCAAAATCAGACATGGTCCATTACAATAAAAGCATGAGAAAAATTTCCCATGGCTATATCCCTGTTATAAGCATTACTTTAGTGTCTCAAAAGGCTTCTGTCCTCCATAATAGTATTTTTGCATCAGTCATTTTGAAAGTGTTGTGACAACCCAGCAAACAAGCCGGTTTCAGACAGAAAGCCCTCATTCTGCCACGCGCAGCTCTGTGGCGGGATGTTCGGCGGAACTTGGTATGAGAAATATCCTGCCCTTTCGGGACAAAAAAAAAAGAGGTTGTGTGTGTGTTCAGACACAGTGATGCGTTTGTAAACTCCAGGGCCCACGCCCATGGCCGTATCCTGCACGCAAGCGCAGTGACGCTCCTTCTGTCAAACATGGCTGTGCTTTGGAAGAGGGAAAAATGGTGAATTGTGTTGGTATAGCTCGGGAAAAGCAGCAGACATGGCTAGATTGGCTGACTATTTTACTGTCGTGGGATACGACCAGGAGAAAGCCGGTAAGTTCGGCGGCAGGGGGCGGCTGGCAGACTGGGGTTTGTGTGTCCAGGCCGTCAGTCAGTGTGGGATGGTGTTGATGCTACATAGCTCTCTGCGCCTAGCTCGGCGTTAGCCGCGCGGCTAGGCGAAAACTGGACTTCCCTTTGATTTCCTCCCATTAACCGGCCAGATGTTTAGCCCAGCTCGCGGTGGCGTGTTCACCGACGAAGCTCGGGCTTCTCCGTTTAAGCCACCCGGGGGACGGTGACCCCACGAGGCGGTTGCGACGTTTGACCTGGATCCGTGTGAACTTTCCGGGGACTGAACGTCTCACGTCCCGTCCCTGTTTATCTGTACGCCTGTCAGCTCCGGCGTCTTTCCCCACACCTCCAGCTAATGGGACGCGCCGCCACACGGGCTCGCGTTTAAGTCAAAGAAGTCCAAAAAAGCTGGCCCCTCCCTTGTCATATTTGTCTACTGACTCAGGTCGCGTTCACGGGTTATGTGGATCCACGCCGCGTAATGCTCGGTGCTCCTGCGGGCTGAGCGTGCTGCTTTTTGTTTTGGTTTGGGATCTGTTGTTAACACCTGCAGCCCCAGTGGTTTCTGTGGGCTTGCAAAAAATTCTTCACGCCGGTTTTACACAGCTGTGACCAAAAAGGCGACTCTTGTGTTGTGTCAGAGTCTCTCCCCCCCTGCCCCCCCCCCAAAATCTCCCCCTCCACTGTTGTTCTGCAGAGGGACAGGAAACTCCTCATGCTTCCACTTACATGTTGTGCCTCAGGTCCAGCCTCACATTCCTTTCATCCTAGAGAGGAAACAGCTTTGCAAACATATCTAATCATTCATAGATATACGTTGGGAGACTTTTTTGGCTCCCTGCTCCTTTTTGTTAAAGTTGCACATTTGATAATTGTCAGCTTGCAAATATCTACTCTGAATTACCACTGGTGTGCTCTTCAGGATGCAGGAACAGCGTTTGCTTAATGAGTAGCCTGGAGAAAGCTACAAATATTCAGCTAATCTGCCAAAAGGGAGCACATTAAAGTTCCAAGGCTCTGGCCGTGGCGCCCGTCCAGGTCCATGTGTCAAAGAGGGCCCTCATGGAGCAGCTGAATCCTTTTAGTCACCATAGAATGCTATGCGCAGTAGGTAAACAGCGTCTGCCATCAACTGTTTGCATCCTCGCGCCAACCGAGGAATATTTTGTGCTCGAGGGACAAAATGTTCCTGGCGTCGCCGCCAGGGTCTGAGTGGATTCACATTCAGTCTGAGGAGACGGAGTGGGATTTAACTTTTTTTTTTTTTCTTCTGGACTCGGCATCATAAAGTTGATTTTTGAAGGAAGCCACTAAGGGCTGTCACAGATGACTGTTGATCAGGGGCTGTCGCCGCTTTATGTTAGCCTTTCTGAAAAATAAAAACGGGGTTAGACTTTTCAGCCTCAAAGTGGGAGGGTTTTTTCTCCAAACCTGAATACTGAGATAAAGTTAAGGTGTGAAATGTACAGGACGGAGAGCGTTCAGTGCATTGACTTTACTTATTGAAGCTTTGTTAGTCATAGTAACGCACACTCATTTGTCTAGACGACAGATTTTTTCCCTCTGTCCACCTTGCTGGATAAGTCAAAGCAGGAACCCTTGCCCGGATCATCAGTGAGCCTTCTGCTCTGGGCTGGCTCGTCCTCCGCTGGCCTGACCCACTTCTGATTGTTAGATTACTATGGATGGATCAGTTGAAAACACCACTGAGCATGCAATCTGCTCTATGCTGCCGAAGACTCAAGAAGCAGTTGGTGGTATTTATAGTGTTGAGGCTCTAACTGAGGGTAGGCTACAGGCAGACACAGAGCGGTGCTTCCAGTTTAAGGTCCTAAATATAAGCTCATCAGCATTAATCATAATGTAGAATGACATGTCACCAAAAAACGAGGTGGGATTTCCTTAGGATTGCATGACCCAGTTTCACTGACTTGTTGACGTTGCTCTTTTGGTTCTTTTTTTTTTTGTCCCATGAGAGTTAGTCATAAACCCAGGTTATGTGCCTGCAGCAGCCCTATTTGAGATATTTTCATTGTGAAAAGAGTGACCTATTTTGAAAGAAAAAAAGAAGCTAAATTCTAGTAATAACATGCTTATCCAAAAGGGTCGGATCATTGTGGTAGGTGCAGCAGACTGACATGAATGAACACAAACAGAGGAAGAAAGAACAGAAAAGTAACATGTGGGTTGAAGTCTGTTTGTTTATATGTAAACTTATTGTTTACACACTGTCATTTAAGCACATAAGTTACATAAAAGGTTATGCAGGGATCAGAGATGAAAAGTAACACAACCTGCCATGTAGAGTCCTTGATTTGAAATCAGATCAGCCTGCTTCCCTGGGGGCCAATGTCACGAGCTGCAAACCTTGGAATTATTTTGGTGAATAAAGTTGGAATGTGAGCATGCTGGTTTGGATGGATGTGGTCTGTATTTAATTCAGTGTATTCTGTGTTTCTCCCTGTGCTGCAGGGCACTGTTTCTCCTTTCCTCGAATAGATAGATACTCCAGAATGTATTCAGCCCTGAGCAGCATTTTTCTCCGTTGAGGGGGAGAAGAAAAACCAGCTGTTTTTCCTACACAGTTTATTTGATGGATATCGTCAGTTTTTATTGAATCAAACTACTTTTGGACTTTTTTTTTTTTTTCCACAGATGCTACGCATCACCTCTGGTCTGAGTGACTTTATGGATTGGATTTTCTGGTCTGGATTTAGGGAATGGCTTATGTAATGCAGCACAATAGGTCACAAAATAATAATAAAAAAATACTTCTGGCAAAGCACTTCCATCTGCAGATAGGATATTTTGCTGAGATGAAATTCGGATTATACTTAAATTTCATCTCTACAAGGTGCAGGTGGTCCAGTTTTTTTGCATGGTTGGGTACAAATCAACTGATGAGGTCCCTTAAGAAAAGGATTTCGATGCTCTTTCTAGGTCTCCAAAACTCTCGTGAATCGAGCTTCTGTTATATCGCCTCAAAGAGTGTTTGTTTTTGGGCTGGCTGTCTTGGCTCACCCACGAGGAAAGTGCCTGGGCAATAAAGCACCACTTTCTTAAACAAAAAGTTCACAGTTCATGTTTTTGTCTGCTACTCTATTCAACTGCCTGGAAAAAAAGGGACAATTACGTTGGTGCTTCTGTGGCCAGAGATCATTTCGGATTCTCTGAACTGCACGAGTCCGCTGAGCGTCCTGATCAGATGATTACTTGAGATTAAGTGTTTTTTAATCTTGTGCTGATTTCCAAGGCTTTGGAGGGAGTTCCATAGTTTTGCAGCCAAAATGGCCACATCTTGTTAAGTTTGTAGGTCGCAGACTTGGTTGAATAATGGCCAGCTTTTCCACCCTTCGGGTACACTAACTTAAGAGCTCTCTGCGCTGCTGGAGATGATGTTTTTATGGCCTATATGCCAGCCAATGTGCTGTCGCCGGCCCTCTCTGCCAGAAGCAGTTCAATGCAAGCCGCGGTAGCTTGTTTAGTTCTTATCAGTGGTGCCATAAACGCATGTTGACGATACTCCATTACGGCAGCACGGTGCCAATAAGATGCAGCGGAGACAGCCGCGTCGTGTGTATTTTCTGTCCTGTTGATTTTTTTTTCTTTTTTTCCCTGTTTTGATAACAAGTCCGAGGCATGAGATGAGAGGCAGAGGTGGTGGTTGACCCTGGATACCTGGGCGCCGCCACCCTGCACGCCACCACAAGGCCCGTGTGCTTCAGATATGGTGAATGTCTGTGGTGGAGAGTGCTGACAAGCACTTGTGCAACTGTGTAGTTACAGAGGTTCGTAACTGTGGACTTCATTTGACACTTAAAAAAATAAAAAATTTTAGCGCTGCTTACCCTCTTGACTACATATCCTGTCAAATTGTACCGGGCACCTACGGCATAGCGCTATTTCTGAGGATATGCACAAACCGTGTTCCAAACAAATACAGGATGTGAGAAGGCAGCCATGATGAATACCCCGTCATCCATAATGAAAAGAAAGCAGATTTGTAGCCTGCTGGCTGGGTTCAGCACACTGTTGTTTGGAGCGACCAGCTAGCTCAAATTAGCAAACCTTTAAAAACCACTCTTTTGCTGTTGGTTTGTTTCTTTTACTTGTGGCTGAGAGTTGCAGCGAGGCCGCTGAAAAGACAAACCTGTCTGTTTCAAATGAGAGAAGTAGGGGGGTACTGCATGTGTTGGTTTGTGTGGAAAACGACGGCAGAAATATGTTAACCTTTCCCAAAGTGGTCCTGAGGGAGGACGGGGACGTTATGTCACACAGTGACCCGCAGCATCGGCTTCTGCTCGTTGCCTCCTACCGCCTGTACCGGTTCCCTCCTGTCCATTAGCAGCACAAGTATTTCTCATCATGAGCTGCGCGCTGAGCGTGTGCTTGCTTTGGCACGGCGACAGAGCACGGTGGGCCGCGGAGCGCAGCGGTGCTGCTGCTGCACTGACAGGGCCATTAGCCATTTCAGGGGGCTGTTTTGTCACGGAAAAACAAATAGGGATACTTTTATTCTCGTTATAAAAGGTCAGCATTAAAATCACCTGAAACATTTTTTGGATCATTAAAAGGACCTAAAACACTACGTGCAGCGGTGCACGATCACAAGCTGCAATGCGCCGCCATTTTTACGTCTTCTCACAAGCAAATGTGGAGATTTCCGTGTATCTGGGTCACATCTACATAGTGCGTCTATATATTACTGTACAGTAGTGCCAGATCTCCTGAGAATGCCAGCTGAGACACAAATATTTACGGTAATTTTCTGTCTACAAGGTGCAAAGAATTGGGCAGAACTTTCACTTCTCCACTAGTACTCAGAAATGAGCATACTCTGAAGTCCAAATTGGGAAATGTACTTTTCTTTAGAAGTAGTGCTGAATTTTTTTCTTCATTTTTTCATTTTTTTTCTTTTTTCTTTTTTTATTTATACCACTCGCTTTGATAAACACTAAAGTATGTGTTTTTAAAGTTGG